ACGAGCAAAAGTCTTAAATAATTTAAGCGGAACGTAATGAAGAAATTTTAAACTTTTCTAGGTAAGCACTAAAAGATGTGATTTAGCTACTAAAAAACTTTTAGAGGATATAGTACTTTTTTATTTTAGTGCCAGGTATAGCAATAAATATAGCTTTTTGGTGTGATTTAGTTAAAACACTGTGTATATTAATGGAAGGTTGCTAGGGATGGGTAAGATGAAACGTGGGCGATTAAAATTGTCAGGTAATGCGAACGGAGTGCAATTGGAATGATGGGAAATGCATCGATCGATACGACCTGCAAGCATAGCACAAATTGTGTGGGATTGAAAGTATGTGGGTAGTTAGTGATAGTCGATGTAATCAAAGACAGTTAAGGTATTTGCATCACCAAAGTGATGATATTTTTTCTAATTCCATTAAAAGTTTTATAGAAACGTAAACCACTGCAAAGTTTTATAATAATAATTTGTACATTTGTAAAATCTCCAATTTTTGTAAACTAATAAAAACCAAAACAGAATTGCAAACAAGTCAAAATCAAATCGATTTGCCGCACATCATGTATCAAAGTTTTGAACATTACAATATAGCATGCAAGACAATAACAAGAATAGCATCACATTATGCATGATAATGATAATATTATACGTTTTATTCCTATAATACTCACAGATTGAAATAAATTCATAAAAATCATTTAATAATAAAATAAACTATTATTATTAATCGTATACTATTCAATACCGGAGATTATGTATTGTTTTACATATGAGTTTTAATTTTTTATTTATTAAAAACATACTGTATAATATTTGAACATTCGATGCCATTCATATATACAGATAGAGTCGATACAAGTTGTAACGACCGCATAAACATGAATATTGCAACATATTGTTAGAAATGTTAGATTCGACACTTTGGCACTGGTGCTCAGAGCATACTATGTCCTGATTGTGTATGCACCGCACGTTTACAACCGCCCCCGCTTCACCGAACGCGATCGCATTATTGCAAAATTGCCCACCATTCTAATGGCTATTGGCTAGACTATCACCCCGCAACGTTCAACATTTATTACAATGCGTTGACATTACATTTTTAATCAGACGCAAACAAAATTTTCGATTTCCATTCCCACGTTGAAATCCAATTTTATTTTTCGATTGCCATATTTTCAGTTCATTGGCAGTTTTTGCTAGTTATTTGGAAAAAATATTTATACTTTCGATTGCTATCAACGTTTTCGTTCTGAGTTTAAGACGCTTTCGCATAGCGGTCCGACGCCTCCACACGAAGATTTTGTATGAAATAGTGCGTCCCAAATCTATTCCGGCAATGCCCGGTGCCTCCACGGGTGTGCTTTGCTTCTCTCCATTTAGATAAACGACGCAACGTTTTCGCCGAAAGTCCACCATTTTCAATCCCACTTTACGTTTTACTCTACTTTTCTTTACCTTCCGCATACCTACATACCTACTTTTTCACGACAACAGCCGCACGGCGTTAAGGACATCTCGACGTGTGTAGCGTTTGGCACTTTGTTTCCTTGCTCTTTGGCGCTCTTTGGGTGGGCTGCACTATCAGAACTTAGGTCGTGCGTTTGGCGGCGCGACCTAAGAGCTTCGTCGAGTGTTTGTGTATCTCCGGTGCACGGTGTTCGCCACCGGCCGGAGGGAATCGATGCTATTTGGGTCAGATAAGACAACATTTCCGTACTTTACAACGCGCCTCCTGAGTGTTGACCTCTTATTCCTCCAGTCCTACCATACCCTTCACTTTCTGAAGATGCTACAAAACTTTATACCTTACCATATTACAGACATAATAAAAATAATAAAAAGTTAATTCTTTAAACTCATAAATAAGCAATAAATACAAAAATACAAAAAATGTGTTTTATTGATAAAAATAAATAGAATTATTCAAATAAATTTCCAAATATAGCTCTAGATAAATTATAACCAAGTTATTCATCGACGCATGTCAGAGCTTGATGCGCTCGATTGCGAAATGTAGGTAAAATCGTCGTCGAAGTCGCGGACGAATCTTCATTCGTGCATATGTATATTTGATACGTGCGACGAAATCGTTCGCTTCGCACGATTTTTCCTTTTATTTTCGTAGGCTGTGAGCCGGCACAGCATCTGCAATTCTCTTTGCTGCATTTTCCATTCTTTTCAGCGCTTTGTGATTCCGAGCGCGCCCTGAATTCATATATGCGACGAGCGATATATTAAGAGTTTTCCATCGATTCGAAACGAAATAACAAAGATACATTTTTACTGATTTTTGCAATACGTAACAACCGTTGAGCGCAATCACGTTTAGAATTTTATCTTATTTCTTTAGTCGTTCAGAACTATATAAAACAAAAATATTCCAATATAGAAAATTGCAAAAAACTGTATTATAAGTTCATTTTAGTATTTTCATATAATAATCAAAATAAACTTTTCTAACCCTGGAAGAAATTGAGAACGAGTTTTCGGTTCTTGTACCAGTGAGCGTCGAAGAATGGTCTAATTAAATTCCTAAAATAATATCGCTTTCGCGCACACTTTGCGCTCGTCCGACTCGCTCGATGATGATTTTTTGCAATTCAAATTTTTGTTTTAATTTCCCACTGTGCCGCAGAAGCGCCAATCTGCGGTAGGCAAACAAAAGCAAAAAACTCATCGTTTTTACATTTTTTGCAGAAAAAAATATGCCGGGAACAAACTGCGGTTTATTTACTCAAGATTTAATTTCCGAGTTTAATCCAAGAAGTAAATAACGTAGAAAAGCAGAAACTTCAAGATAATAATTTTTATTTGAGTATTAATATAAAACCGTCTAAAGCCTTATAATATATTTGATATTTAATAGTTTTAAAATACCTTCGAATACTTTTCAGAGTTTAAAAACTACTCGAGGATTTTCTTCTTCGATAACTGCAAAAGTTTTCAAGACAAGCATTTATGCAATTTGAATAAATATCTAGTTTAATCGATAAATACGCATTTATTCACCTTATCAAATACATGCTTTAATGGCATTTTAAAGTAATAAAAATAAATATAAAGAACCGCATTCTTATCCTCTTATTATTCTCTTTTTTAAAATTAAATTCCAAATATCATTTCAGCACACTTTACACAGAATAACACCACGCGTAATCATTATCTCTTATCTCTGTCTGACAAATAAACTATGCAAACACAAATATTATATAAACCTAGCGACTTCTTTTTTGAGCGTCATTTTGCGCGGAAACAATGCAACGACGTGAAGTGAAACTGAAACGACTCGTCATTAAGTTTTATTTTATTTTATGTTTGTGATTGCGGTCGCACAGGACTTTGCATTAGCCGTGCGCGTCGTTAAAAAGAATCCTCCCTGGTGTGGAACGGAGAAAATGTGCGGAAATTAAATTTGATACTGCGGGCAAAACGCGTTTTGCTCACGGAAAATTGTCAGCGCTCAAACTGCTTCAACAGTTGGTACATGCAAATGTGCATTTTGCACAAGTTAATTGAAATTTATCATTTTGTGTCGTTAGATTAAAACACATAGAATTGAACTTTTCATGTGCAAAAGTTTTAATTAAAAATCCAAAACTAGAACGAGTAAATTTTGATTAAATTCTGTTGGCTTTTTATGTGGAATATCTTAGCCAAAAATAGGAATCAATTTATCAAGTGGTCCTAATGCTTAACGTAATCGATTGAGGATTTCAGTCGGAATTCCAATAAAGCCACTAATAAACTCGGCTGGCTGGCGCGAAGCAAGGTAAATCCTTTGATTTCAATTAGTCCTGTGCTTGGAAGCTGGAGAGACGGTGGAAATTTCAAATCGTTGCGCTGCAAGTATACGTACGCCCGGCGTCTCCGCCACCGCTACCCTCGGCGGCATTAACATAGTAAACGCCGCGCCACCGGGCCAGGAAGGGCTGGCACTTTGCAGACGCCGAGGCGAGATTATTGTTCACCTACAAATCCGAAAAGGTAAAGCTCGCGTACAGCCGAAACTTACATGGCAAATGTAACATTGCTAACATACCGCATGTTACAATAATAAACAAGAAATTAATGGCACAACACAACATATAGTTTTGTGTATAGTTTTGCGCCGGTTATAAACAATTGTGACGTCGAGATTGGATTTGTTATGAAACATGATGTATAATAAAATAAATAAGCACCTCATTCCAATATAACAACGAGTTGCCTAGTTAAATTCATCCAAGCGACGCTGAAGATTCTCATCGCTTGGCACTAATGCTGAATTTAGAACTCGGATTCTGTGCCACTCACATGCGTACGCATTCATTACTATGCAAATCCGTATTAACATCATCCGAGCAAACTTTTCACGAAACTCGCTTCACTTAAAATAAATATTTTTACTGTACTTCTTTCATTTCTAACGGCCAATTGCAAATTGTCTTGCGTTAAATTCAAGTTGTATTTTTTTGTTTTGGTGAATTGCCAAGTTGCCGAGTTGGTTAGTTACTTAGCTACTTACCTAGCGACTTTTATTTGGTGGCGAAAATGCACTCGGCGTTTCACCACATTATACGAATGCCTAGATGGCGAGAAACCCGTCCGGAAACAAAAAGCTTAACTTTTCTTTTTCGAGCAAACAAAATTTCAACGCCTTCAACTCTACTTTCCACTGGAGGCGAGAGAAAGTTCTTGCTTTTTGCCATCTTGCTTTGGCACTTTGCGACGTGTCGTCGACTGCGACACACAAAAACAAAACCGCGGAACAACATTTGTTAACTGAAATTTTACGACTCACGCTTTTAGGGGACATTCGTCTCGACTTTTGGCTTCTTTGCGCGCGCAATTAACAACAAAGCGACTTAAAGCCACAAACGTAACTTGAGATCATAAACAAAGATTTATTTAAGATTTATGTTAATAGGAATAAATGACTTTACATTGTATTATCATCAAAACAAAAAAAAACACAGGAATTACTAAACTTAAATAAACTAAATTTGCATCCTAAATTTTCTGTAATAATATAAATATAATTAACTTTGACTCTGTAACATCTAGATATAATCACTATTAGAGAAGGGTAAATGTGCGTCTTGTGCGGATAGGCGATTATAGTTACTGAAGGATTAGTGGGGCAATCGGAATCTTCGTAGGCAAAGGAGTTACTCGCTGCGTGTGCTGGAAAGGCGCCATTATGCGTCTTTGATGCCGCGTAATGAAGGAAGAAACTCGGCCCTTGAACCAAACTTAACACAAACGCACCGCGATAACGTTCCCACCCGTCGGCATCTCAACACCAAAGCTCTCTTACACAAACCTTAAACCATATGTAAGTTTAAGCGTAACCAAGACTCTTCGAAGAAAACATGGATCCAGATTATCAAGATGAGATGGCGATGAACATCAACATCAGACGTATAAAGGGTAAAGGATGATAAAGAGATTTAATTATTACTTGCAAAGATGTTTCACAATTTACACTTTTGAGTTGATTTAGGGTAATAATTCAAACATCGCAAGTCTTCGTTAATAAACTGACATATTATTTCATGTCAACGATGACACATATAAAAATAACCGAATTAGTTTTAAAAAAGTTACAAATAAACACAAAAGTCTCTTTTGATGACATTGTTGATATAACTGACGTTGATTGAGTGATGCATCGTTATAAATCTCTACTTTTATTATTCATGTCAACAATCTTTACTGTTAATAGTTAATTATAGTAAAATACTAAAAAAAAATAAAAAATAAAAATGAAGTCAGTTCGGTTTCAGTTTGGGTCAAACTAAAGTTGAGTAAAAATGCAGATGAAAAGAAAGCGAGCTTGCGCACACAATAGAGTGAATTGAATTTTATCGCGTCGGCTTTGATATTTTGCGCGGTTCTCGCGATTCTTGGGATTTTTACGTGCCGCCCACGCTCATGAAAAAAAAAGTCGCGTTCCTTTTGTCACACAGTGTTCACTCATAAGAATACTCGATCTATTCTTAGGTATGAAATAATTCAACATATAGAAAATAAAACGCATATTTCTCCAATAAAAATAATATTTCAAAATAAGTTTTTACAAAAATATTTTGTATGTTGAAACGTACTGTATGTAGCTACTCTCTAGTAATCTAATAGAAATAGCAATGTTAGTTGGTCCATAGAAAACGGAGAATAAATGTTGGAAACGTACCGAACGTTCTGAACGAAGTCGATATTCAGGGCGGGATGGATGGGCCTAGACGGTCCTGGCTGGCGTCGCCGGTCCTGTGAGAAGGAAAATACAATTTGAATATTTTACTTCTCAAACGTATACGAGCACATACAAACACATTTCCTATTTATACTAGTTTCTCATATGTATAAAAGAAATCTACAGGGTTATTTTCAAAATGAATAAATGATAAATTCACTAAAAGAATTTAATTTAGATTAACATACAATTTAAATTAAATAATATTTTCTGCATCCTGTATTTTCGTATTTCATATTTTGTGCAATATATGTGACATGTTCAAATAAGAATACCCGTCAAATGCAGAATTATTTTGCGGTCGCGGCTTATGCAGTAGTACTTGATATTGCAGATGCTATCATGATGCAGGTGCACTTTCCAGTTAATCTTTACTCAATCTGGAACTATAAGAAGCATTTCATAATATTTTTGATTCAATTTTCTGATGTTATCGCTATAATAGAATTTGTGATAGCTCTAGCCGTTTGGTCAGTCCGGTAATTAATTTGCAGTGGAAATTTGGTAATTTGTAATAATTCACGAGCGCACCAACTGTGACTCAAAGTGCAAATCCGGAAGCAGCAATACTCACAATTCACCAGCAGGCGCATACAAATGCTCAACTCGGACCCCTCGCAGGATTGCATTACTTCGGTCAACTTAATCCGACATTTGAAACTTACTAATGGCAATAAGAGTGTGCCTGAACAATGGTCAATTTGGTTGGCGCACGATTTGCTTCGCAAACAGGAAATAGCCCGCAGGTATTTAAATGAAAATTGAGTTTAATAACGTTTAATATAACAGATATGCAGACATACCAAAAACGAATATTTTTGATAATCAGATTAAAATTTACTTTTTTGGTTTTAGATTGAATCAAAATGTAGTTTTGTAATATTGATAAATGTTACTTAAATACGACTAAATTTAGAAAAAAAAGATTGTTTTTGATATTTTCCAATAATGAAAATTATGAAACTCCCGGTCGTATATCTCCTGCGTGAAAATATGTCAGCTCGCATTGCGGAACGCATCCGCAATGGCGCTGGAGCGGCGCAGGATTTTTGCAATGTGACAATGATTGATGTCGGAAAAATGCCCGCCCGAAAGATGATGGTATTACTAAGAGCACACTACCGCAAATTGCATTTCTTGTTGTTTATTTTAGCGCACGATAAATAAACAAGCTTATATTTTTATTTACGCCGCAGGACGCAGAGCGCTGGCTTTGTCTCTTCGGGAACTTACTTTGATTGTTCCTGCTACCTGGGCTGGGAATGTAAATAATTGGATTCGGAACGCACAGCGTACAAAAATGACACAGGAATGAAAGTGCTGGAAGAGTTGCAATTTATAAATGAAAGCAATTTAATGGAGTACTCGAACAACAATAAAAATTTCGCTGTTCAAAACAATATTATCAAAAGTGTTGCGCAGGCGCAAGTTTATAACCAAATTTAGCCTTTGGTATTAGGCGCATCGATGAGGAAATTGCAAAACGCTAGAAGGAGTTTAATAGAAATCTTCACTTTAGACGCACTTTGGGTTCACTCCGGCGGCGGATGACGAGCCCGGCGAGTGCGCCATTTGTCACTCGCGTTCCGCGTCGTCCATCGGGCTAAATGCAGGCGCACCCCACAAAGTGTATCCATAACTCAACCTACACACAAATTTAATTCCAAAGTTAATACCCGATAGCTATCAATTTGATGACTTCAAAATTAATTCAACTCGGTCGCAAATTAATTCATCATTAAATAAATTGAATTCGGTAGTCAATGCATAATTAAATTAGATACAATTATTTGCACTCGATTTTCGCGTCAAACTGTATACAGGAATGAAGAGCGGTAGTGGTGCGGAAAGCTATTTTAGTGGATGACAGGACGACAGGTGGCGGTCGGACAATGTCCCTCTCTCCCGGGGGAAATTACCGACGCCTGCTGCATGTTGCACGCCACAGTGAGGAAACTTATTTTCTCTTCGAGTGTTTTTGGACCATTGCAGACCAGTTCTAAGCACAACCAAGGGTAGTACATTATTTAATTACGTTTTTCTTTTTTCACGTCAAACATTACAGGCGTAAGATTTAAAAATAAAATTTTGATGTAAACCTGGATTTTTTTCCGCCTGCGTCTGCTTAGCATCTGGTGACATCAGCGAATTTCCGAATTCTGGTCTACATCCGAATATATCTCCGTAATGGAATGAACTCCACTCGGGCTTATTTCTGCTCGTTGCTTCCTTAACACATCGCCTGGCATATCTTTCACGCGAAAATCGAAACGCACATTTATCAGCCACGTATCGAACGCCTGTTGTGTCCTTCGACGCGGAGCACTTCGGACGCTTCGATTACGTCGCTTCATGCCGAGTGTAATTGATTGCCGCCGCTCAACTATCTATCAGAGGCTGACAATCGCGCGACGTAAACATATCGCAACGTCAAAGAAAATTTATACCATGAAAAAAAGTTACAAAAACTGGAAATCAATAAAATTTGTTTGCAAATTCACTTCAGTTTACGTAAGGGCGTAAAATTATCGCCGGATTAATTCGGTAGTTGCAGTAGTCTTAATGAAGCGCTAGTCCTTGCACCACTGCGCCAAACCGCCTCAACGCCAGCCAAATCATCCCTGTTTAATTAATTAATTTCAACCTAGTAAATAGTGCGGTTTTTCGCGAGCAAATATGCGCTAGCGCAAGAGCGGCGAGCTTTGCATTATTTAACAGTGGATTTGCGCGACGCTGAAATTGTCTGCGCACACCACACACAATGAGGCCTCAGACAAAAGCCGCCTCCGGCAAAGTCTGAAACTGGTTTAAATCTAGCCCCGAAGTTTCGCCCGTCTATGACTGCAAACGCGCAGACGGATGTGTGCGCCTCGAATAAATGCGATACAACAACCGGTCGGTCGGCGCACGTTTCCGGCATACAGATAAACACGCGCTGGCGGGCAAAGATAGCACCCGGAGAAAAGGACACTCGTATTTATCCTGCGGGTGGAAAGTTGCAGCGGTGTGTTCTAGTTAATACAGTTTCAAACCGACAACAACAAGAAGAGGAAAAAGAAAACAATTTTCGTAAGCTGCACAACACATAATCCTTACTTCCCAAAATATAAGATTAAAATTTAATTAATTACCAGCATAAAATTTCGCAAGTTTTTGCGCCGGCAATTTTGTATAGAAAAAAATCTCAATTTCAAGGAGGTTATGATATTATCCTAGAGAGATAGAATAGCTCAAACCGGCAGGTCGAGCGTAATACGCAAACGGTTTATGCTCGGCAAAAACTCCTTCGCCTACAACAGCCTACATGTTGTGCTCGGCCTACTTCCGAAAGACCTGACAACAATGAGTATGCAAAGCGTTGGCGCGCTTAAGGAACAATCTGTATGCGCTTGGGACACTGCCGGCACGATAAGAAGGCGCATAATACATCGCCGCTTTAAGATAATTGCCCACATAAACTCGGCCGAGTTTGCAACAATGCAAACAACATTTCTACTATCATTAACAATATCAGAAAGGACCAAACACAATGTGGCTAATATTATCCCCAAGATAGGTTATGATAAATTGAACTAAAATATAGATTTTTTAACCTCAAAATTTCAATAAACGAACAAACAACAAGCCTGTATTGATTAATTATGTTTCGAAAATATTTTGAACGTTTCCTCTAAAAAATTAATTAACTAATTAATTGTTTTCATGAGTTGGTTATATTTTAAAGTTACTGTTTGCTGTTTTTCGTTTGATGTAAAAATATAATAAATTGCCCACATTTGAAACAAGTTTTCAATTTTGTAATTTTCAAGTGGATTTTCGTAAAATAATTACAATTTATATTACAAGTACAATCACATTAAAAGCTTTAAGATCAGAAGAAAGCCTTACTTAACCACTTCTAGCATCTTTGATGTCAGTTCATTGTAGACGTTGAATGTTGAATGCGAATACGAATTTGGCAAATGGAGTCAATGTCAAAGGTGGCCACATACAACCACTTATCTCTTGTCGCGTCCGATGTTTTCCCATGTCAGGGAGTTTTCGGTTGCGGCACCCCCACAACACAGAGGGTGAAAAGTAGCAAGGCGAGTTCTCAATTTATATTTACGAAACAACGTCTACAGGTCGACTAACCACATGAAAATGCCCTCAAGATTAATCGACTCGGCTGTTCAACACTCTTACACACCAAATTTCTCATCGATCAAAATTGTGAGGGAGTTTAATACTTTTTTTTGTGTAATTGAGTGCGTACCCAACGTAAACAATCGTGGTAATAAAGTTGGAAGTGGTTTTAAACTTTTATGACCACAGATATTTTCCTTACATCATAAATTGATAAATAAAATTGTGATTGCTTCGGAATTGTTTAAAATTTAAGTATTGAGGAAATTGCCTATCATAAAATCAACTTGTCCTAGCCACCAGGCAAACTAAATTTATTCACTCTGCAAATATAAATAGAAATAAAAATCTATTTTATGTGTGCCGGTAAAATATATTCAAGTAAAAGATCTCAAAATCAAATAAAACTCAACTTTCGTAGAGATATAACTTTTTGAGAGACGGTTCACACTTAACTTTCGTCTCAAGTGTTGATTTCTTTTTTGTTCGCCGCTTGTATATTTTTTTATATCGACGTCCGTTTTCTGTGAATCGTTTTTGCGTCTTTGGAGCTTCAAAGTACGAAAACACATATTGAGTCTTTTATTTTTGTAATACTTGGGATAAGCTGTTCGCCGAACACGATTTTCAAAGTCGTTTGCGGTTAGAAAAAAACGTAATACCTTTCAAAACCGGGAAAACGCCAAAAGCTGCTGACCGCATTACGAAAAAATTTCTTTTTTTTTATATAAAAATATAAATCTGGAAAGTAGTTGTGATTTTGGAGTAAAAAATAATTACATTTATGATTTTTAATAAGCGAAACAAACAATAGTTATTTAATTGCTCCCAATTTTAATCAATATAAACATGGTATAAAAAAGCAATTAACTTGATGAAGCGCCACACTACCATTTCACCGATGCGGTTATGAATGCTTCTAATGAAAACACCAAACTACAATAAATAAAAACGTTATATTTTATTCCACAGTTTTGCGCGTCCCTCGTTCATTACAATGCAGCCGTAAATTGTAATTAAAATAAGTATTCAACCGACAAAAAAGCCGGTTCGTTTACTCGCTTATGTAATATTCGTGTCGAGTTTTTCAACGCAGGCGTGCATTTTTATTCCGACCGCAATTTTTCCGCTTGCGGCAGGAGGCGCTTTTTTGTGCCGGTTGCCTTTTTGTTTTAATTTGTGCGCGTTTTGTTTTATGAAAAATAATTGCAATTCCCGACGTCCGCGTCGCGCTCGTAATTTCTTCCGTCGCTGCAGTTTTAAGTGCTCGCGGTGTGTATAATACATTCGGAATGGCGTTAATTGAAAAGGGCATTTATATAAATAACCGGCGCTATTTCATGCCGCCGTTCTTAATTGAAAGCGCCCGGAAAAAAAGAATGAAGAAAAATCAACAAGAAACATAACTCAAGGAATACTTGAAGCGCTTGAAGCAACAAACGACTGGAAAATTTTTAACTCTTCTGCTACTTTTGGATTCAGTGAAATTCAAACGTGTCTCTAATTTTGATTTCAATGCTAACTGACTCAAACAGCAATATTTTTCTACGTCGCGAAATGCAGTAATTAAAAACGTTGGTTTTTTTGTGTCATTCAGTTGTTGGGTGATTTAGCACTGAAAACTCTCACGCTTTTCAGTTACAGTTTCGGAGAGGCTTTCTTTTTTTATTTGAAAGCGCACAATGCCTCTCAAAAAATCCCTTTCCAAATCATGGCCCGAATCGCTTTCTGCGTGCTGCGGGCGAGAAAAATCGTCGCTCAACGAATGCGCGCTCACAATAAAAGGCGTAATAATTGCAAATGAAAAGAGCGCTGCAACGCGCTTTCACGTTTGACTGCAAAGAACGATGCGAATGGCGGAAACGCAAAAAAAACCGTTAAAAACGCCAAATCGCACTCGCAACGCAATCAAACATGCAAAAATAAAACGAAATTTGAACGTTGAAAATAATCTCCATTCTGTGACAGATATTAATATATCTTCTAAAAATAATTTTCATATTCTTTATTATTAAAGTATTAAAATTTCAATTCCTGTAGTCTCTCCTGTCAGCATAGTCGGTGGGTATTAACTGGACTTAGAATCCCTCGCCAGACGAAAACCGCCCGATGGGTTTTAATAATCAAAGACGGATTAAAGCTTTCTCTCACGCCGTGGGACACGGTCGTCGCGACACCGATATCTCTGAATCTAATTAATTTCACCGCCCTCCGCCGATCGTCAACTCGAGCTTGCGCGGTCGTTTTCATAACCGTAGCGCCAGGAAAATGTTTAACTAGGACGCTGCGCGCCGCACAACGACGACTAATGACTAATTCATATTGTCACCCGTTAACATTAAACACCCATCTCTGACATCAAGCTGTGCGGGGCATCTCGACATGAATCTCCGCTGGAAATTCGCCGAATTCGTAAGTGTTTGTACGTGTTGACGTTGGCGTTTAGCACGAACTTTCCACTTGACGGACGACATCGTAACATAGTTACATTTTCAAACCCGGAATTTGCGTTTGGGTCCAAGGCGCCAGGCGTGAATACTGCGAATCCTAGCGTCTTTCAACCGACTTTTAAGTGCCCGCAAACGTCCATCAACGGTGGAAAACCGCGGAAACGTCTATTCTTCGTTGTTGTTTTAGCTTCATCATTTTGCTACGCCTAGGGAGCACCGTGCCTGTCTTATTAATTCAGAACCGTGCGCCATTTAATTTCATAATAAAGTAAACAGCATTTTGCCTGAGTGTCTAGATGTCTACAAGTCAGAAGGGTTCACACTTTGTAAACTTTAAGCTGTCTTCAGGAATAACATGTTCACAGTTTTAAAAAGCAGTATAAAAATTCGTTTGATTTTGAAAGAGCAGAAGCTCATGACTTTACAATTTGAACACTCTCCACAGCGTCAATTTTGTGGCCTTTTCCCAATAGGACACTAAACAACGCAAGAATAAACTTCAATTGTGAGTTCACTTCGACTTCATCATCAACGCCGTCGAGAGACGCCCGAACGTCCCGAAAATGCTCTTACTCGTAAGTTCCTCTCCATTCCTCGGGCGTATTCCACGGATTTGCCCGCTTTCATTTACTCACCCCTTGAACGAATGTATCGCGCCGCTTTGTCCGCCGCATTTTCGGCCGGCCGACAACACAATCATCTTCGTTTCTTCAGTTTTTCCCTGGGTAAGTTTTTCGTCTTCTATTGTGTCAGCGAGCTACGGGGTTTCGGCGAAAAACTGAGAGCACTTTTCTTTGGTTTCCACCCAGGGACCAACAAAGGCGTATTTGCTGTTCTACAGCCAGTGTATCCACCAAAGGAATTCATCCCATTCGCAGTTATTCGTAGATCAACATTTTCGCGTCGACATAAAACTATGTAATGAAATACTGAAGTCCACTTATACGATGGCTATAATTGTTTGCTCACATGTTCGATTAACGAGATGAATGAGCCGATATAAATTCTCTCATTCCTTTTTTCGTAACTTGTTTGTTTGCTTTCAAGTGCATAAATCGGTCTGCGTGAGTGCGAACGTTAATTACGCTTAATATGCACGGGCAAGCACATACAATCTGCACACAGGGTGTGATCAAAATATAAATTCAATATTTATAAAGCTAAAGACATACTTTGAATAATGACACGAATACATGGCATAAAATAATAATTAAAAACTGACTGTGAATAGTTAACGAGTTTGTGGTTGTTGGCATCACACAATATATATAATCCGCAAACAGTTCAAATGTTCAAAACCACTAGGTGAGATGAACTATCGCCCCGCATGCATTGTCCTTGCATCGGCGACCTGCGCGCCATCACCAACTGGGCGGAAGTGATAACGACCACTTTATTATTCTCTGCCCCGCATGCATCGTGCTGTTCTTGCTTGCGACGCGATTTAATTTATTTAACCGACGACCTTTTGTTTGCTTGCTTAGCGCGCGCTTGAATTCGCGCCTCTATAACCTACAGCAAAATTCATTTATTCAAAATAAAACAAAAAACAAACGATAAACCCATTCAACTAGTTTGAAATTTAACTTATAAGCATAACAAATTTCACAACTTTTAAAGGGTAATATAATATGGAAAGCTTTGATATATTAATTGTATTTCTTTGAGTTTAAGCGGCTTTCTTGTAATATTCTTGTGATGGCGTAACACTATCCACAATATTGAACACAGATGAGTTATTTTTAGATAAATATTTGAAAAAATCCTGTATGCGATTGACGAGAAACTGAATGTTGTGATCATCCAGCAATGTGTAAGACAAATTGGCCCCTAGTTTAACAAACAGTCTCAATAAATGAACACCTCCATATACTTGACTTGGTTGAACTTCTTCTTCCTCAACAAATTCGGAATACTGTGGCCTCTCCAACTTATATAACAACTGTGTAACTAAAATTGTATTAAAATATTCTTTAAAGCCATTCGCAATTTCTCTTATGGAAGATTCTGATGCAGTTTTGTGGGAGCTTTTCATGTGATTAACAAAATTATCAAGAATCTCCTCAACAGTCAAAGCAGCTGGTAACAACCACAATTTTTTCTGCCTGTTAACAAGATCCCAATCTTCAACAAGTATTTGTTTAAGATCTTCAGGTATTTTGATGTTGACCTCAATTTTGCTAACAAATTCCTCCTCAGGTTCTGCAATGCTTTCAACTTTGATTCTCTTCTTTTTCTGTACTTCTGGTTCTGTACTGCTTGATGGTATGGTAGGTTGTTTGGCCTTTGGTGTCTTCTTGTCTGCTACTGCTTCTAACACAGGTGTACCTGCCCTTGAATCAGTTACTTTGGAAGTGTTTACATCAGTTTTTGCTTTCGCTTTGGTCTTTTTGCCCTTTACAGGAGCATTCTTTTGCACTTCTTTCTGTCGCGCCACGTTTGCTTCATTATACTTGAGTACTCGCGACTCTGGAACCCACTCATCCCAACTAAAATGAAGCCATGCATATGTGAGATTAATTTAAAGTATGCATTTGAAAAGAAAGGTGTTACCTTTTGCTCCAGCCGGCATAATGCACAAAATATTTGACCTGTTTGTCTTTGGTCACGGTAGACTTGAGGCATTTTGCTTCATAGATCAACGGACCGTGGTAGCACAGCACTTTTTCACCTGATGCGAATTCCATGTTGCGACCAGATAAACAAGTAAACAAATAAACTCACAAACTTTAAGGTTATAAACAGCGGCAAATCATTGATTATTTGAATTCGCTTACTGTGGCTTACCTTCAACAAATTTTAGCTTTGGCGGCATGATTTAATCGTGTATACAATAAAATAAATAAATATAATTAAAGAATAAATATCTATATTGAACTGGTTTCAAATATTTTTTAAAGCTTTAAATTGTTAAAAAATTGATTTTTCCAGCTGTTTGGGTTGCCTGGATCGGCTTGCATCGAAGTTAATCTTCAAGCTTTTGGTTTGCAACAAAACTACATTCGCACCATCTAGGGGAAAATCACATAAACTGATTTCGAGAGTTATTTCATTTTTTCGACATCCAAAGTAGAAAATAAAGATTTTTGGCGATACATAGTAAAGTTAAGCAGGCCTGAGTGGTGATATCATGTGTAGCGGATCTTTTTTGTATCGCATAAAAACTTCACGCTTGAAAGTGTCGAAAAGCTTGCGGTTCTGATTGTTTTGATGTTCTCGCCATGGAGGGCGGCTGCGTTTCACTTGAAGCCCCCAGTGAACGGTAAATATAGGAGAAAGTACCAAAAATTCGTATTCGGCTACAAACATTTCGTAAACCTACAATAAAATCAGATTTATTTCCTAGCATTTTAACTCAATTCAAGATACCATACTTGCGTATTTCTTGTGTAACCATAACCAATGAATCGTTCATCATGTGGAGGAACAGTATCAACTGCCACATAAAAGGGTTCATACAAAAATTCGAAGTTGGTTACTTTGTGACTAACATGAACGTTCATATCAGATTGAGTGTTGTTTTGCCATTTAGTAAAATTCGTCGCATATTGATTATAAATAAACACTCTATGATGAAACGGCCTTGCCAATCCTTTATTGGCCAATCGTACTAGCTCCGTTTTGTTGGCAGGAAACTTCACCCTATTGTCCAGTTCGTACGTGGGGATCACATACGCGCAATTCTTGGTGCACCTATAGCTATTCAAAATGTATCCAACTTCTCAACAAAGTCATGACTAGGAATAATATCAACATCAGTCAGAAACACATGTTTACTACCGCAATTCTTGCGTGCTAAGTTTCGTAGATGGTTCTGCGGGTACGGATTCTTGATCCGCCATTTTGTTGTTTGACTGCTCATGCGACTTGTGAGCATTTTTAGTGTTATATCTGGAGTGTTGCAGTCCATATTAGTTAACTCTTCGACATCAACATGTACACCATCCGGTATTCGATCCTTAGGCAAAGCCAAGTGGAAATTTACACGTTGTTTAATGTGGTCAAAACATTGCCGCAAATAAATTATGTACAACATCAGCAGATTAAGCTCCTCCTCCCCAGCTGCAAACAATGCGGCTGATATGGCGCCGTGCCACATTTGACTCACCTCTACTAGCGAACTTAATTTATCCAGTGAGCTTTGCGTCGCCAGGCATACTGAAAATTTCTCATTTAGATCCGTAAAACTATCTCCAATGAGGAAATTATCGTAGAATTTGTACAGAAGTCGATTGTCCCATCGACCAAGCTTTAAATTTAACGATTCAAAAAGCTCTTCATCATTTTTTGCTTCAATTAGTTTATTTTGAGTATCAACACATGGTTGCATATGTTCTGGTGGAACTTGAGGCCTTTGTATTTGCTCCTGATGGACTTGTTGCACAACTTCTGGAAGCTCTTCTAGTACTGCAGGTTGCACAGGCTGATTTGCTTGAAAGTGCATGTGTTGAAACTGTGATGAGTGTTGCTGAGGCAGTGGGCAATCGTGCTCCTGCCTGGAAAGCAGTTTTACAGTGAGCAGGATGTTGTAAATAGATAGTCCTATCACCAATGCCACTGTTAAGTTCAATATTCGACATTGCTATAACAAAGAAACGCAAAACAATTCAAAAATCGATGAAATTGTGAATAATTTATTAACATACTACATAAAAAGCTTTTATTTCAAACTAATTAATATTTAATAAGTACTTACTTGCACCATTTGATTATTTTATATTAGCAATAATTATTAACGTTGTTTAATTAATCTCTAGATAGTATTGTATGTACAGTTTATATTTTACATTCCTAGTTGTTGCTTTTTGGGGTAATCAGGTGATGCAAAATTTAGACCGGCGTCAACATTGTAATCAGTCGCATTTGACTGCGGGTTCTGTCAGCGCACGAGCTTTTCTGTTCCGAGTTTTAGCTTAAAGGGAGACATAGAACATAGGTTAATAAGGGATGGAATATAGGAGTTATGCGCAGGACATTCACAGCTGGGGCGCTGCCATCGGAAAATTATTGATTTTTTGGTCTTCTAAGCAAGAGACAAGCAACACGAAGGCCTTACAGTTAGGAAACGCGAGATTTACTTACACCGACCGTTAATGTAAAGGAAACTGTTGATAGTGGAAGCAATAGCGAGCTTTTCATGAAAACTCAACTGCTATTAGGCATTAGAGGGCGTTACAATTATATAAAATGGAGTACCTATCATTTTATCTTTTTATTGTGCTTATGTTTATGATTCTATTCAGTTCAGGTAAAAGATTAGTTCTATTATAAAGTACAGCTACAACTGAAATGTTATTTTTGCTGTTCCATACGATTCCAATAATATTGGAATGACTTAACAAATCCTCCAAAAAGTGCCTAGAAATGTGTTAAAACTTTAACATCAGACTAATAAAGATCTCTCTTAGCACTCACACTGCTATCTAGCGAATCACCACCACTGCTACATTCAAACCTAATGTGGTCACCCACCGCCATCTCTCAACACCAGCAGCCACTAAATGTCTCACAAGGAAGCCGTTGGGAGGGGAGCCACCCCACCACCCGAGGAAGAATCGAGGCCTCAGCTAACATGTCACTGACTCGTCCATTCCGTTCGAAGCCAGCTTCCAGCGAATACCGCAGCGAGCCTACTACCACTCGACACACCACGCCACACCACGCTACACCACGTTACGCCACGTCACACCACACCACGCTACGCCACGCCACACCACACCACGCTACACCACGTTACGCCACGTCACACCACACCACACTATACACAAGACCGAACACGCTATGCTCATTCGGTATCTACCATCCTCGATACGCAACGCTGTTTCGATCGGACACGCTATGCTCATCCGATCAAACACGCACGCTCATTCGATGCCATCACCATCTCAGGTCGAACACGCTTTGCTCATTCGATACCTGCATCATCTCAGACCGAACACGCCTATGCTCATTCGGTATCTGCCATCGTCGATACGCTATGCTCATTCGACACCCTCAACATCTCAGACCGAACACGCCTAGCTCATTCGGTATCTACCATCCTCGATACGCAACGCTGTTTCGATCGGACACGCTATGCTCATCCGATCGAACACGCACGCTCATTCGATGCCATCACCATCTCAGGTCGAACACGCTTTGCTCATTCGATACCTGCATCATCTCAGACCGAACACGCCTAGCTCATTCGGTATCTGCCATCTTAACCCTGACCCTGAATGGTCCACGTTCAGGCCCACCTCCTGTACCACCACCGCGGACAGACTGTCTGCGTCGCGGAAACTACTTGTTCCATTATTCTAGTTCCAGATCACGTTTCTAAACTACAGTCCACATTGCTCTCTAACCACCCCCGAACACTGAACATAAAACACTTAAGCTAAAACGTTTGTTACAACTCTCAGGTACATCTCGCATCAACACACCTCCTAGGTTATAGGCGGTCGACCACCCGAGCGACCGTGCCTTCGAGTGCGCCACCTGCTGGGATCTAACCACCTCGACACCCGCACCGTCAATTACAACGTCTCTCATTGTCTCAGCATCGGAAACCAGCCCAACACGCCTTACTATTAAGCTTGATCTGTATTATCGCAATCGCAGCTGAATTTACTAATACAAGTTTATACATTTTTGGTCCTTCGAACCGGATCCGTGAGACAAAATGAGATACGAGCACATCGAACGACGCATCGAGCAGCAGTATGACGCTCGCCAGTTTATCCATGACTTCATACCCGGGCTCGCCGACATCAAAGCCGAGCACCGCGACATCCGCATCAAGACTCTCCTCGAGTTCCTCAAGGAGCATTGGGAAGAGTTCAAGCTCAACCATCAAGCGATATGCATGGCCGTGAGCGCCCTCAACGATGAAGCAAAAGCCCAGATAGCGCAGATCGTCGACCTCAGCATGGCGGGCGGGTTCCCAATCCAAAAGTGGAACAGCAACCACCCAGACGTACTGTCCGATGTGCCTCCCGCAAAGCGACTTGAAGCGCTATTCAAGCCGATGCATGAAAACTACACCGTCCACGCGCTTGGCCTGGCCTGGCAGCCAAGGGCTGACACCTTCCATTTCACCATCGATATGGCCGTAAACGTTTCTGTCACCAAGAGGAAAATACTATCTGCCGTCGTCCAAGTCTTCGATCCATTAGGGTTCTTCACCCCAGTGGTCATGGTTGCAAAAATATTCATTCAAGAATTGTGGACCCCCAAATTGGGCTGGGACAACGAGCTTTCCCACGACACCTCTCAGATATGGATCCAGTACCTGAACCAGCTTCGAGAATTGCAGCAACTTTCCATTCCGCGGTGGCTTCAACTCCACGCCACCTCAACTTTCGAGATCCATGGATTCTGCGACGCATCCCAGAAGGCTATGGCAGCTGTAATCTACGTGCGAGCGACTGTGACCGGGACCCCTACCATCACGTTGATGTGCTCGAAGACCAAGGTTGCACCTCTTAAGCGGCTCACCATCCCACGCCTCGAGCTCTGTGCAGCCGTGCTCCTCACTCGTCTGCTAAAGCACGTCATCGCCTCGATGAATTGGGACGCGCACCCTACCTACTGCTGGACCGATTCCGCCATCACATACACCTGGGTTAACAATCATCCCTCACGTTGGAAGGAGTTCGTCCACAATCGAGTGACCTTCATTCAAGAGGTTTCATCGGCAATTCAATGGCGCTTCGTTCCTGGAAGACTAAATCCAGCGGATTGTGCTACCCGCGGCCTAACGATGGCAGAACTTTTCAGCCACACGCTGTGGTGGAACGGACCTTCATACCTGCTGCAGGCCCCGGATTGCTGGTCGAGTGACGTGCAAGCCGACTTCACGCATGAGATGTTAACAGAGCGATCCACAAAAGTCTACGTAGTCACGACGATACCGAAGCCGCTGCTTAATAATCTCTTCAACAGAGCTTCCTCACTCACACGACTCATCCGATCCACGGTGGTATTTGATCGAGCCGTTGCAAGCTTTAAGAAACAGCCGTCAGCCTCACTGATGATCAACCCCATCTCACCTGGCGACCTGGAGGAAGCTCGACTCTATTGGACAAGTCATGTTCAAGGACAAGTATTCTGGCTGGAAATTTAGACCCTGAAAAAAGGCGAGCAACTCGGCAGGACCAATCCACTGGCCAGATTAACGCCCTGGGTCGACCCTGCTGGCGTTCTTCGCGTTGGGGGACGTCTTCAAAACTCCAATCTCAATGCTGAAGCCCGACATCCGATCATTCTACCACGACGCCATCACTTCACTGATTTGATCATTCTGCACACCGCAGGACCCTACACGGCGGCACCCAGCTCACCCTGGCTTACATCCGCAATCACTATTGGGTACTTGGCGGTCGAGCAACAGTCCGGTCCCATATACGCCGCTGTGTACGTTGTGCCCGCTTCCGACAAGAGCGTGCCCAGCAACTCATGGCACCGCTTCCAACTCCCAGAGTCACGCAATCACGAGCATTCGACCACACCGGTGTTGACTACGCCGGACCGTTCAACATCAAAACCTGGAGGGGAAGAAACACCAAGACCTACAAAGGCTATTTTGCATTGTTCGTCTGCCTTTCTACATCAGCTGTACACCTGGAGCTGGTCAGCGACTATACATCCGACGCCTTCATCGCTGCCTACAAGCGGTTCACCGCACGTCGAGGAATCTGCGCGACCCTCTACAGCGACTGCGGCACTAATTTCAAAGGTGCAGATAAGGAGATCCGACGACTGTTCACCGCCGCCACCAAGGAATCAATGGAGATTGGCAACCTCCTTGGATCCCTTGGTACCCAGTGGAAATTTAACCCACCCTCTGCACCCCTCTTTGGCGGAAAATGGGAATCCGGGGTTAAATCTGTCAAGCATCACCTCCGGCGCAGCGTTGGCGAACGAACTCTAACCTTCGAAGAGATGACCACCTTCCTGACCCAAGTCGAAGCGACGCTGAACTCTCGTCCACTCTGTCCGCTGACTGAGGATCCTGAAGACCTCGAGGCACTCACACCAGGACATTTTCTTATAGGCAAGGCCCCCAACGTGTTGCCAGAACCCTCGCTGGCCCATCTACAACCGTTGGCAACTTGTTCGCCAAGCCCTCGACGGCTTCTGGAAGCATTGGTCAACAGCGTGTCTCCAACGCTACCTGTCCATCTCCAAGTGGAACCAACGTTCGCCCAATTTCAAGTCGGGCGACATGGTGCTCGTGATAGACGAACGTTATCCGCCAGCGAAATGGCCACTGGGTCGTGTCACGCAAGTCCACCCCGGGAAAGATGGCCTCATCCGGACCGTGACCGTTCGCACCCAAGCCTCCACCTTGGACAGACCTATTGTCAAGCTATGCCGATTGCCCATCAACCAAGATGTCTTGTAATAATTCGTTACCAGGGTAACGAATTGGCGGGCGGGAAAATGTTAAAACTTTAACATCAGACTAATAAAGATCTCTCTTAGCACTCACACTGCTATCTAGCGAATCACCACCACTGCTACATTCAAACCTAATGTGGTCACCCACCGCCATCTCTCAACACCAGCAGCCACTAAATGTCTCACAAGGAAGCCGTTGGGAGGGGAGCCACCCCACCACCCGAGGAAGAATCGAGGCCTCAGCTAACATGTCACTGACTCGTCCATTCCGTTCGAAGCCAGCTTCCAGCGAATACCGCAGCGAGCCTACTACCACTCGACGCACCACGCTACACCACGTTACGCCACGTCACACCACACCACGCTACACCACGTTGCACCACGTTACACTATACTACACTACACACTGCACACCACACTACACCACACCACACTATACACAAGGTACGAGTGGACCCCCTTACATTACAAGCCCCATAAGCTAACAATAGCCGCCATGCGGCACAGATCTAACCTTAATCGAACACACTATGCTCATTTGATCGAACACGCTATGCTCATTCGATCAAACACGCATCTCAGACCGAACACGCTATGCTCATTCGGTATCTGCCATCGTCGATACGCTATGCTCATTCGACACGATCACGCCGAACACGCCTATGCTCATTCGGTATCTGCCATCGTCGATACGCTATGCTCATTCGACACCCTCAACATCTCAGACCGAACACGCCTAGCTCATTCGGTATCTGCCATCCTCGATACGCAACGCTAATTCGATCGGACACGCTATGCTCATCCGATCGAACACGCACGCTCATTCGATGCCATCACCATCTCAGGTCGAACACGCTTTGCTCATTCGATACCTGCATCATCTCAGACCGAACACGCCTAGCTCATTCGGTATCTGCCATCTTAACCCTGACCCTGAATGGTCCACGTTCAGGCCCACCTCCTGTACCACCACCGCGGACAGACTGTCTGCGTCGCGGAAACTACTTGTTCCATTATTCTAGTTCCAGATCACGTTTCTAAACTACAGTCCACATTGCTCTCTAACCACCCCCACCCCCGAACATTGAACATAAAACACTTAAGCTAAAACGTTTGTTACAACTCTCAGGTACATCTCGCATCAACACACCTCCTAGGTTATAGGCGGTCGACCACCCGAGCGACCGTGCCTTCGAGTGCGCCACCTGCTGGGATCTAACCACCTCGACACCCGCACCGTCAATTACAACGTCTCTCATTGTCTCAGCATCGGAAACCAGTATTGAAAATGCCCTGTAACACGCCTTACCGTATTAAAGCTTGATCTGTATTATCATGAATTGACAATCGCAGCTGAATTTACTTAATACAAGTTTAGTTTATTGTAGTTGGATTTTATTACGTCAAGCATTCGTGTCTGAAGCTCAGACGGTGCAGTATCAATGTGCATTACAAAATTGCTGAGACAAGCAAATTTGAACAAAAGTATTCTGATTCATGGCATGAAAGTTATATAAATAAAAATAAAGTTTGAGTTAAATTTTCAGTATTCAACTTCCTTAAGTCGTCAACTCTTCAATTCGTCAGTCACGTACGGATTGTTAGAAAGTGAGGAATGTAATAATAATAAACGTACATAATTGTTATTAAAGTTAGTGATACAGTTATCGCCATTCTACACACTCTATTTATTTAATTTTATTTCTATGTAAAATTACATGGCAAAAAGAGGTATGTACTTATTCTTAAAGTTCTTTTTAAGTAATAATTTTTCACAATTAGAAGAAGTACTTTAACACAGTTACTTTAATTATTTTGCGACACGCCGATACATTCGAATGCATCTATGTGGCCCTTGGCCCGAAGAAGTCTGTGCATCTTTGTTCTAAACCCCCACAAAGTGTTCTAAAATTTTTATTAATAATTAGAATTCTTCTAAAAAAAATAAAACTAAGTGTGATGAACCCTCTGTCTTTTGGACTCTAAGTCACAAACTATTAGTTTTCCAAAAAAGGTTTTCCAATTCGTATTCACGATAAAATTTTTCATAATTAGGTTTTCAATTGGCTGCACTTACGTAACAAATAGGAATGGTCAATATTTTGAAAATTAATTACGATACCGAAACAAAAATTGAATAATTGAATATCTGGAATTGTGCTACATGAGTCTGAAACTTTTGTACAAATATTTTAATTTGGTCGGTTCTGATTTTACTGCCTCTCTTTGGAAATATTTTGTGTTAACGAAAAACTTACGAGATATCTTCTATCGTATTGCATTTTTGTTAACTTTATTACTTTCTGACAAAATCTTTAGGAAAATGTTTGAGCACATTTTATATTGGATTTTTTGAAATATTATACGAGTACTATCTAGAAATTGATGTTGAGCACTACAGTGTTTTCGGTTTTTCTTTACCTTAATTAGTTTCTCAGATAATTATGAATGCAGCATCGCTATAAGTTCATGATACCTTTAAGAGTATCTACAAGATATATATACCATTACTGCTATTCAGTAAAAAGTATTTTTATTCACAAATTAAAAGTCCCTTTACGTCGTGATATTATTAGCTTTTAATAATTAATTCAGTCAGACGTTTCCTCCTAATTTGCTTTAATTAGTTACAGCATAAAAAAAATAGAAGTTTTTTTCACCTATAAAGCGCCAGTTTAAACACATAAAGTGGTACTTTATATACTTTATATAAATTTTTTTGTATAATGAATATTGACGAATATGCAAAAAAAATAATTTCAAAGTATAAACAAGTGTTTTTCAACTGCAGCAAACCTGCTGATAAACCTACACAAAATAAAAAAAATGCGTGAATGTTTGGAAGTAGAATAACAGGTGCCGCTACCAGGTCTACATCACGCTACTAAATTCAACAATTTAATAGAATATTTCTAGACTTTACAGCAAGTTTATTTCAAATAAAATAATAAATTAAAAAATATAATAAATAATTAGTTACTCATACTTAAATATAATACATTTTGAAGAATATTCAATATCCAATGTAATTTGAGTGTAGATCGTAGAAATAATTATGTGAGAATTTGGGTTTTTCTAAAAATGAAAACAAAACATAAAATATTAATATCATTAAATTGTATGTTTTTGGGTATATTTATATATCTATAATATCTTCCAAGGCTTTTTGTGTTTTAATTTGCGGCTAATATAATTTCGCAAATCACATATTCATGAAGATATCATCAGCGCTTCCTCCAACCGCACACTCACCGCACAATCCAATGTATCGCGCTGAGGGCGCATAATTAAATCGCTGGCAGGAAGGTCGTCCTTTGACGTACGGCTCCTGGCCCAGCACGTTACCGCTGAAATAATTCCGGAATATGAATTCGTAATGAGCTCAAAAACCACCCAAAAACAACATTTGCAAAATTAATGTACGGACATTGTCCGAACAATACGATAAGGCCTTGTAGAAGGACGAGCGTTGAGCTGTTGAATGACACTCACCTGGCGCCGTAATTGCACACATAATTCTTGGTGAATCCTTTTGTGGTGTCGTAGTAGTATGAGAAACCGCAGCCTATCAAATCCGTCTCACCCCAGACCATCTGAAACCAGAAACGGGAAGTTTGCACCTTCGAATATTCGCCCGCAAATCCAATAGGAGAAAGTTTCGAGAAAAACCTCCAACGTTAACAAAAAAGGAGATACAAATATCGGCAAGGAAAGTTTGGCGGCTCAAACTTTTGCTACGTGCATTACTTGGATGGTGTTTGTTGGTGTATTCAAGAATATTATTTTTTTGCCGACACTTTCTTGCAAGCTAAGCACTCCGTGGAATACGAAACTTTTACCTTGTGAATCTTGTGTGTGATTCCCTAGGGATGCGGCAAACTCGTGCGGTTCGATTGTATCGATATGTTTTTATCAAGACATCAAATATGTATTTTTTCATTTATCAAGACTAAATCTAAGTTGAACGCTGCTATACTTTTAGGTTTACCTGAGTGTAATGTCCGGTGTTTTTTGAATATCCTTGAAGCGGGCCAAATCGGTAGTTCCTATATTCGTCGAACCATCTGCCAATAGCGTGGGCGAAATTTGCCATCATGTCGAACGTGTTCCTCGGCGTTGCCCGAGTCCACATCGTCGCGATATTTTGACCTACTTCAAATCTACCTGAAAAATATAACGATAAAGTTTAGTAAGAATATGATCGTATATTAATGTTTACCTAAATGACGTCCTGCATCATGTCCCTCGGCGCCACAGGAAGTTGACCATTTTTGTGCCCGCTGAGCCAGCTCAACGTCCCACTTGAGTTCCATCATATTGGCGGCTGCAGGCTGACCTGGAACCGTGCCCATCGCCACTGCTTGTCGCATTCGGTTGTGGTACTCGAGAATCATATTCTTGTCACCCTCGGTTACACCATGACCGTCTTTAATGCGTTTTATTATTTTATTTTCTATATATTTTTTTCAATGTGAATAACTCACTGATCATTGTTTTCCGATGACAGGAATATACGCAGCTCACCATCGTGAGCAAAACCATAAAAACTCCTTGTGAAAGCATTTTTTCTATATTTCGTCCTGCGGTAAAAATAAAAGACATGTATGACATATTTAATGTATACCGAAATAAAATTCCTGACGTCTTGTGCCGACTGTGGCGGTGACGTGCTTTCCGTGGCGAGGGACATAAAAGAGGACATTTTTATAATACACTCGTCTCATTATCTCGCTGCCGCCGACTGCGTGCAGGCGGAAACGTGGAGGTGTGTGCAAATGGGTGCGTGTCGCGTTTGTAAATTTGCCCCGCCAACGCCTCCCACTCACCGCTAGGATTTCCTTCGACTCCCACTCGGAAAGTTAGACGCGAACGTCGAGGGACGCCAGAATCCCAAGGAAGCGAAATATCAACGTGTGCATTATGAGTGTCGCGGACTGGTGTCGATATTCCAGACACGATTCTCTCTCTTAACCATGTTACGCCTGCGAAAATTGAATCCGGCGTGGTCTGGTCCTTGCTTATGCACGCCGAAGTGGCAACACACACACACCCACACATACACCTACTCATATTCTCTGCGCACGTTGAAATAAAGTGGCAACGGTGCACGAAAGGGCGGCTCGATTTCCGTCACCTGGCATGGTCATCATGCGCGAAATTCATATCCAGCAAATCTAAATTCGACGGTTTCGCTGCATCGCAACTCGCAACATTTGATGCCAGGTGCTGGTGGAGCGGAACGAAATGGGTCAGTAACCTAGGTGTCCTAGGTCAACATGAGACGACTGCGTTCTCATGTATTATGGAAAATGGCAACGAATGCAAGAGACACTGCACAAGCACCTCAAACGCAATGATTATTATTTTGCAGTGTAGTATTTTATTCTTTATTACGGTCATAAATAAAACATCACACTACTTACTCTACACCCGCGGTAGACTTGTGCTCATCGGATACAAACCAAAAAAAGATTTAATGCTTTAAAGTATTCTCTCGTTTTATGTCGTTATTGTTATTGCCGATTATTACGATTATCGTCTTTCACAGAGTAAAAAACGTTATAAAAACAGCAGGTTTTGCGCGTGGGGGTTGCAACCAGGTACGTATTTTCCCCGAGCTCCAGACACGAGCAAAAAAAAGAATTGCCTTCTTAAATTTCGCTCTTTACGTGCGCTATATCTTTGTTTTGTCGAGCGTGCTCGGCATACCGAATCCAATCACTTCCACCCCGATATTTTATGCTTTATACCTATATATGCACTTATAAGACTCCAGGCCACCCTTAGCGCGCTTCAAACCTTCAATATATAAGTTACAAGGCTATTCCCGTTCGCACGAACTACTTTTTACCGTTTTTATCTAGGTTGTGTTAACATAACCTATATAGAGAACTATAATTGCTGGTTCGGATTAATGCTTCTATATGCGGCATTGTGAAACTAGAGTTTAACATCAAATTACACCTGAAATAATCATACCTAGATATAATTCTATTTCCATTTTGAAATCCCGACGCGAATCACTCAACGCATGATGTTGATTCAATTTGGGGGCGCGGCAGGCAAAAAGGTCGCTTTATGTCGCGCTGAATGCATCGAGGCGGGCGTAATTTATTATCGCAGTAAGTTTTAATTGATTCAGACACAAACGTGAACAACTACGCTTGCGTTTATTTACTCCCACGTAAATCGAATGCGGAATATTCAACAACAGAAGAGTTAAGTTACCTGCTTGATGAGTAAACACGATGCACTCAAAACTTTGCGGTGCGAAAGAAATCCGGAACTAAACTACGGCACATTTAAGCTCTGAGAATATGATAATGTGTTTGGTAGGTACTTAAAATACTTACTTAAATTTTCACTTATTGACACATGTTTTAAAACAGTTTATGTAATAAATTTAGCGCGTGTTGCCTGTATGTCTGGCAGTGGATGAACACCGGTTGCTCTCTTTTGTCGCTCGTTATTGGCGTGCCGAACCGGAATGCACGATTTTCGACTCGATCGCACGGCGCGCGAAGAGCGCAATGCAGAAGACACGAGACAAGACGTCCGCCAATATTATGCCGATTTTATATATCTGCGGCTTGTCGGCGATGTCAAGGATGAACCAGCCGAGATGTCGGGCGCTCGCAGACGGTGCGCGATGTCGAGATGAAAACCGCCGAGTAGCAACGAAATACGCAATCGTATTGTCCTTAAATAGACAAATTAGACAAACTCACTGGTTTATTTTGTATAAATAATACCGTTGCATCATCTGACATCTCTTACCATTAAGAGAAATTCATTCATAACAGAACACGGTTTATATTTTACGATAATGCGTAAAATTTTACTCTGAAAGTGATATTTTAAAATGCAAAATGCTGAAAATAAGTCGTAATCTTTCTTTTTAAACTTGTAAATTTAAACAGGTTCCTAACTTACCACACAATATACTATTTCAGCAAAAAAGTGATAATTCTTTACCCTGCTGTGAAAAAAAACTGAAACATTTTACAGAGAAAGCAAGACAAAATAGAATCGAACTAGATAAATAACTTGCTTCGTTTCTCGGCTGGTGGCGGCGCAGTAGTTTGCGAAAATCACTCGGCGTTAAATAATTTAAAGCCGCTTGCGGATCGACACCTTGATCAATCGCTATAATCTTAAACGGTCGGAGCCCATCCTTCCTTGTTCCCTCGCCGACGCCGGCGGGAGCTCTGGGAAACTAGACTGGCAGTGCACCTCCACATTCAAACATCGTTTCCAGCCTTCTCTGCTTCAACATTCCAAGTTGAAATTTGACTTTATAACTTGGAACTGAAACTTAAACTTACAACGCCAGGTACGGCTACGCCAAGTGGTTTTCGATTTTTCTTTTGCAAGATTTAAAATTTTATAACTGCTATTGCGATTTTATATTTATTACCTACTATCATGGGGATAGTATATACAAAGTTTAGAAATTATTTAAAGTTATCTAACAGCTTTGATTGAATGATGAATTGACGACCATTTGTGTTCTTCTTTTTTTAAAAAATGAGTGTAATTAAAGTAGAAAGTAGTTAGTCAGTCAGACTACAAACAAAAAAAAGTTTGAACAAGATTTTCATCTTATCTTGTCACGTTGACATCGTCGATGAGTCTCAGTTTATTCTCCTCGGTCCGACTACCGCCCGGGTTTTAATAGCTAACTAAAATAATTGCCAATTAAAACTTGCGGGCGCACACTTTTCCGTCGACTTTGACACCGACACGAATCGCGTCGACTTCGAACCGCTCAACACCAACACCACGTCCATAAACGTCGAATTTATGTAGCTGGCGCACAATAAATAATAATACGCGCGATTAAACTAGCGAAAACACGACTTGGACACAATGTCCCGTGTACTCATTAGCATTTTTAAAATATTCATTTCTGACACATTAGACATGCTCACCGCGTGAATTAACCTCTGACATCGATTTTTTTTCAAAAAACTAAAAGCACCCATATGAATAGATTACGATCAAGCTGTGTCTTTTTTGTTTGCCAATGAAATACGAAAATCACAATGTAATGTCGAGTCATTATGCGTTGTGTTAATAATAGTCATAAATTACGAGCTTGTAGTCGATCGGAGTGCTATTAAGTTATCACTTTGTCTTGTCAACGTTATTAACTACAACGCGAGGTGCTCAAAGATTGTTAGATTAGCGATTACAAGTAGTACATCCTTCATATATAATTTGAAACTTATACAGAGTGATCTGAAGTAGTTACAATCCAAATAATGCATTTTTTTAAATTATAATAATGTGTAGTATTATTATAATCCGTACAATGGGTAGATACAGAGATTTATTGCTTCAACGTCATGTTTGTATTCCTATGAGGTGAATTTTAATTGGCATGCAATCGATCTTGTTTTATGTTGAGGCACAATGAATATACAGCAACACAATAACATAAGTTATGATTGATTCGCGTGAAATATTATAGTTTTTTTGTATTGTGAATTAAATCGATACACGCGGTATATTCAGGCGTGGAATATTGTTAGCAAACTATTGAGTTTTTGACATTAATAGTTTTAGTTTTATCGTAAATATTCGCTGATGCAGCGGGTGTAAGGTTTCAAATAAATGACCTATCAAAACAATTTTCCATTGTTTAAAAATCACTCTCGAAAGAAAAGAATCACGTCGAGTATTCATTATTAATGCTGTTGGTGCAAAGGCATCAATATCACTTCCATGCCCATTTGCTGACGGGCCGAATTGGCGTCGCGGCTTTAAATGTCATGGGTTGTTCCTACATATTCGGCGGTCATTCAAGGCCCGCGCCAACCGCTTATTACGATCCGGCGATCGGCCGATCGACGCGCATCAGTACGCCGAGCACATTCGACACAATGAAGCCTTGCTTTCCATTCTTCGCAATTCTTCATACAGCCGAACTCATTAAAATTCTGCGCACTGATCGACATTAAACATTACTCTTTGTTTAATTATTTCCACACCGGCGGTCGGACTGGAGAAAACCGACTTGATTGTATTGACCGCAAATGGAGTGCATTTTTGCGTCCAAGTTATTTATAATGCGAGGGTGACGAACGTATAATTAATTATCTACCTTCACACAGAATCATGCGACTTACCAAGGCAGGAAAAAATATGATTTAAATATGTAAATGATATTTTTTAGGTATTTTCGGTGAAAAATCTGTCTTAATGGGATGTTAATTAATTCGGCGGCACGCTTTTTGTTACCTACAATGAACTTCTTCATCGTCTGAGGCTGTGAATTTAATGTCGCTTCTAAATTGGTTTTATTTATGCGTTGTATCGAAGTTGAAAATTTATGTGTGAATAAATTTCCACAATGTTTAGATATCTTAATTAACATCGACAGTCATATTTTATTTTTCATTTTCCAATTACCATATAAAACCATGATTTCATTATTTATTATCTATGCTCAATATTAATGTTATAATATTTCATATTATAACAATTATTACAAAAAAAATCATTTGGTGCAAAATATGTGATTTCCTTATGAACAACATTGTAAGTCAGTGAACTTAATATGACACATAAAAGAACTCAAGTAAATAAAAACGCAATTTTTCGGTAAAGCTCGTGCACTTAACGTCCGCCTCGAAGTTAAAGACAAGACAGGACATTTTACGCGTGCGACATGTTCACAGCACTTCAAGTTCGACACGTTTTGCCAAACGAGGAAGAAGTGCAAGTGCGCGCGTCGAACAACAACGCGTTTAATTAACTTTTTTCGCCGTTAAAGCGTCTTTGCGCGACATGGCGTACGTGTCGGCGTACGGATTGCTCGAAGAGTAACGAGACGGTTTTTACGCCTTCCCGTTCGTCTTGAGCCTTTGACTCTTTCGCACCTCACACGACACGGAAGCAAGCGGCAACGAGCAACTTGCAAATTGCTCCTCTGGTCGAAAGTGCTTGTTCGCTCACTGGTTTTCACAAGTCTTCATGCACCAACTTGTGATGAACCGGGCAAAAAATCATTAAAATTATACCTATTCTTCAATATCAAAAGACTCCATTACTTTAATCTTTAAATTGATTAAAATAAGATATATATTGACATATAAAATAATCAAATTTAAAATTTAGAACCCTTTTCTTGCTTTTAGCAACATACAGTATGAAAACTTGAAGAAGACGTACATATGAGTAAGGACAACCTCGGTAGATAATAACAGGACACGTTCTCAAGGAGTTGCGACGACCCTTTCGACGATAAGTTTACGTTAAAACTTTGCGACGATGAGGAGAGTAAGGCAAACAACGATTAGCGACTTTACTCACTCCCCCACTCTAAATACGTTAATATACATTTAATTGTCAATAAAATAAAATTTCATCTCGTATTGCTAATGGGACTAATTAATATCAAATTAGCACGAGCGTGTTATTTAATTCATCATTAACTACGTTTTGACGAGTTTCTGGTATTTTGTGACTAATTTACAAAACAACCATCTGCTAATTAGCAAGTAGCAGCCTAGTAGGTGACCTATGCCCTTTGATAAAGTGATGAATCATCTAATACATTTTATTACGTTTGTTCTCAAGCCGCCGTGTCAGAAAGAACGACTTTTGACTAATTTATCGTGTATGATGGGAGATGTAAGATGTCGGATGAAGTATGCGCGCGATTCCGATGAATTAATTACATAAAAAGCGGGTCAATGCTACTTGCCACAGAACTATCAATAATACTTTTACCGCGCAGCGCGTATCTAAATAACTAAAACTGTGATTTATTTTTTTGACGGCTATTTATTAAATCTCAATCAATCGTCTTCGATGTTGAAAAAAGCTTCAAGTGATAAATTAAAATGAGTCATGAGTGATTGAGCGAAGATAAAGATTTATTTTCGTTGTTGTGTTTATTTTTAAAATCGATTTCGAAAGCATCAATTTGTCGCAGCTGGTTGTCCTAACTTCTTTGGCAAACAGGACTCGGGACTGTCAATTCGTGCGTGAAATAGATAGAATTTTCTTATTTGTTTTGTGTGACACACAATCGATGTAATGAAGTGTAAAGCGTTTATTTCAAACACTTTCGTTTATTAAATTAGTTGTTGTAGCTTTTTCTTCTAATTTGTAATTTAGTAAATGTCAATGTCGGCAATCCTCACCAGCGACATCTTGCTGGACGATTTATGAAGCGACTGTGTCCGTACGCGAGGATTTCGGCGCATTATAACTTCCGAAACATAGTATGGCAATATATTAATTAAATGCTGACAGCTAATTAATTAATTCAACAATTTATGCCGAGGCTCATTATGCGCGGGCTCACCATCAAACGGCCGGCCCGCACCTAATTAATTTGAAATGTTATTAAAATGCTCGTCGATTAATTACCAACAAAAATTTGCAAAGATTTTGCGACATTCAAAATATTAAATTGATCGCACCTCATGTTAGTTTTACTAATTTATAGTTGAAGGTTGGTTATGTGTACGTTGCGCATGCGTTGTTTGACAGGTAGGCGGAGCACTCAACACACAAATCAACAGTAATGTCAGCAGAATTCCAATTAAAAATCACAAATATTTATTCTTATGTTGAAATCGATTTTGATTATTGTCGGTCTACACATGAAAAAGATAACAAGATAATAACGCTTAAGTGGTAGAAAATTGCTATTTTCAGCGTTTTTCTTGTTGTTCTTTCACCCTCCCCGCGGCATGTTCATGTTTGCGCGAAATCCCTTCATTGTTGTTTTTTCGACGCGGGTTTTGCAGACAATCGGATTACGTTCTTGTTTAGCGCAAGGGTTCACCGCTCGGATGGGATAGTATCATTCAAGTGCGGACGGCGATTCCAGCGCTTTAAAGTTATAAAACGATATAAACACGGCCGGATTTCGGCGTGGGCTGGTATTACGAGTGTATCGTCGCGCGAGCGCCCCCGGTAATCCCAATTATGGCGCGGAACGAATGCGAATTTGCATGCGGACATGACCAGCACCACCGCAGCCCACCGCTAATCGCGTCTTTCACACTAATTAGCAATTATTCGAACATAATAGTATCAAAAATTGCAAAGACAACAAACGTTACATTCCTATGTTCAATCAAATATTGAATAGAGAAACATTCAGATAGGTACTTACTGTTGTATGAAAAATCCCTTTGGAGCTTAGTGATCGACGTCGGATTAGTAAGGTATGTACACGTATAGTATTAATGGATTATATGTTAGTTCAACACTTCAATCCTTAAATTTACATTTGGGTTTATGCATAAAATAAAATAAATTGACTAGAACCAGTAAATTATTTGATGTTTTAACTATAAAACGAACTTTTTACTGCTTTCACAATGAACTGGTTCATTTGCTATTAAATTCAACTATGGGTTGATAAATGGTATGCAAATAAAAAACATTTGGTTTATGGGAATATACATTCTTTATTTATTAACTTAAAACTTACATTTATACGTAATGCGTTATTTTGTCTCTCTGTCATCGTTAGTATGCCCGCACATTGAATCCCAAAACGCGGCAATGCATCGAAAGCAAGACGTGAACATAACCTCTCTTACATTTAAACACTTAACAGCGCTCATGTACGTTACACCCAACGCATCTAACCACAACTCAGGGGTGAGGTTATATACGGCTACTACAAAGTGGTTACCCAACTAAATTCGTAAACTTGGCGCGCGTGTCTCAAAGTTTGTTTATGCACATTGACTGACAATATAATGCACATTAAACATTATCGAATAATCGATAATATCAACTAAAAATTGATTTAAAGTGTTCATTCACTAAGTATTGTATAAGACAGTATAGTTTAAGTTTACTAGTGTAGTTTTAGTTTAGAATACTGTTTGTTGTATTTAGTTTGCATTAACAAGTTTAGGTTGTGAATTTAGTTTTGTTAGAAATACAAGTTTCTACACATTTACCTTAAACAAAATCGCATCGTTTTTTTTTTGTTTCAATTTCTTCGCATCAGTATAATTTCGTATTAATTCATAATTCTTTATATCATTACGTATCTAGACTTCTCCTTGCAGAATACTCATCTTTAGTTTAACCCTTACATTTATTTATTTATACAATTCAGCAGTTTCTCATTGTTTAAATATAATTTTTTACAAACTAACAGATATAATCTTATTGTGTAAAGTTTGTTTTCTTAGTTTAGTTCCATTTCATTTAATGCATTAATGCAGCTACATATCATCATCATATGCATCACGTTAAACGTTTTATCTCGCATGTTCATACCAGTTTTAGAGACTTGCACGTGCCACTGTTGTAAAGATAAAACAATAGACTAATCTGTGTATATTTATACATATTACGGTGCGTCCACGTGAGTGTTTGTACAATGTTCAAGTTTTGCGGCTTATAGAGTCAGGTCTGTGATTGTATAAATCTACAAATGCCTATAAATATTCGCGTAGATCGTTTCCGAAGAATAAATCCACGCAGTGCGGCTGTATGCAATAGCATCAGATATGTAATTTTCTGTGATTTACACGCATTAGCACATGTTTAGGTTTTAGCTACGCTAATATTGACTTTCAGAGCGCCTCGAATTCAATTTCGACGAGAATAATAATGGCTACTACATTTTGGTTCCCACCGAACTGTCTTCTTTGATAATACCACTTCTTGTTCATGACGAGTTTGCAGAGTATAAAATCTATTATACTCTTTACAATAAGCATTGATGTGGTTTGTAGAAATCAACGAAAAATTAGTGCATTTTCATTTCACTTGTCTATTCATCAGATTTATCATTCAACAAAGTACGACCCTTTAAAATGTTACACATTTTCTTTGTATAATAACAGCCATTTTACATTAATCTCGTTATTTATTTATGTTTCATACTTTTACAGCATAACTTAGGTATATATTCATTAATCATCATGATATGTCGTTATATATTTTCATCATTAGCTTCCCTTATCATTCGTTACTTACTAAACTTACGAATACATGAATTCATTTATCATTGATTTAAATTCCGTAAGAGTGCAGTTTGCACATTGTTTATTATCACATCAAAATGCGAACGAAGAGTTTACAAATCAAACGAAAAGATCAGACAGTTCGTAGCCAAACAGCAAGGTCAAACGAAAAAGTCACGAATTGTTATCGACATGATTTCAAAACACAAAGCGTCAACAATGCATCTAACACTTAACATTTACAGCTATTATCATTATTTTATTCAATACTCTTAACTGTTAACTCCAAGTCCAAATATGCTTCATCATCAACGCAATTAATACTTCGTTAGCCCAGTTTCAGGTTCATTTACGTTCGTTAAATCTATGATGTATATATATTTTTATATATTTATATTTGTATATATAGCGTGTATACTTTTTAAATATTTGTATATAAATATTAGCTTATTGGACAGGACAGCCGAAGACACATATATGATATGTGCAAAGTTAGGTGTTTTTTTTGTATTTAATACATCCTCACTTTCATAGCTTGGTATTCAGCGAACTGGTTCAATTAAATGACTTATCGCCTACATCCCTACGTATCTCTAGCGCTACGTGTCGCACTATTTGTTAAAGCTATCTTTAGCTTGTTCATAGCAATGTCATATAATAATAATTCATACAATTTCTTAATGATACTCGTTCTTTGTTTATACATTACACGCTACTGCACGCTATGCGCCTACTTCATATTGACTATTCGAGTGATTCCGTAGTTTCACAACGGGCATAAGATTTTGCTGAAAGTTTTCTCTAAAGAATTTTTTGCATTACATATATTTTTTTGTTCTTTTTTTGCAGGGCAAGTGTTTCGAAATATTCATTTCGAGTTTGTGTAATAATTATGATTGTTCTACTTGTTTATACCATATCATCGAGGCCTTTTATTTTTCATTTAGCTGTCTGGTAAATTTAATTTAAATTTGGAAACACATTCAGGCCATCGTAACTACTTGCTCCCATTGAGGACTAAACACAATCGGAAATTCTGTTTGTTTTTTTAAGTTAACATTGAAAGCAAGTTTTGATATGTGTGATATTGTTCATTCTTAAAGCCCAAACCAATTGATTTTATTTCATTTGTTTTATTCTGTTAGTTTTTAATTTTATTTTTCTTACATCTATCATAAGTGTTTTGCTATATTGACTATAAAGTTCATTCGTGCAATATTCACTTTGAATATGTAAACATCATTGACATCTGAGTGGCAGAATTAAATATTGGTTAAACAGCTGGTAGCTATTTATATAAACACTAGGTAGCAAAGTATAAATCACAAAGTAATTAGGCACTAATCTAATTGTTTATAGAATGTATACGTTTGTACATCTTTTACTTTCAATTCTGCTGAAATTATATTTATAATAGGAATGCGAGAACAAAGTGCAAAATTAATTCAGCAAATTATATCCAACACAATTGTGAATGTATGAAAATTAATACAACAATTAGCGATATTTATCGTTTCCATTTTCAGTGCAACAATGAAGCGCGCTGAAATTGCTCCCTGATGGAATGACACCCGCGCATTGCAGCCATCAATTTAATTCAAAAATCTAACCATAGTTTTAACCGTTCGTTGCATATTCATGTGATTGAAAAATCAATCACCATGATGTCCCCGTGCCCGGATGATGACTAGATGTCCATTTGAGTCTATGATTTATTAACGCGTTCGAAATGACGAAAAAAACTCCCTGATATTCCAGGTTTTACATTTGTTGCCGCAATTGAACAGGCTTGTAGTGAAGTTGTGGGAGCAATCGATACGTTGGGCATAAATATTTAAAGTTTTCGCCGTGAACCTCTCGAATGCGCACCCTAGCGCACCCCGCGCAACTTATGGACTTAATGGCGTCGATGGTCGGGTGTGTTAGGGTGGAGGATGTCCTTGGCATGTGCTCCTGTCGAGGTTTTGTGTTTCGAATTAGCAGCACTCAGGAACAATGAAACTCGTCTAAATCTGCGCGCTGTCATTGTCATTATTAACCCACAATCGGCCTGGTTCCAGATTATTTATAACTTCTACCAATCTCATCCTTTCTCAACCTGCTTTCCGCACATATCTGCAACACTAGCTGTACCAAAATATTTGGTTGGATATTTTTTGATTTATAATTAAAATTGCACTTTGTTTCAGGTAATAATTTTTATAGATTTGAAAATTTTTCTCTATTCGTTTGACTCTATTATCTGTTTGCAAATGTTTGGCACGTGCATATCCGTGTGTGACAGTAAAGGTATAACGCCGGGGGACCCGAAGAGGGTTTATTATTACGCAATTATCTGATGGCAAATATTTACGAGATTTGGCACAAACGTGTTTCGACTATACAGTCACTTACAAACCGATTAAAAATTTGTAAATTTATCAAAAATATTAAACTCTTAAACGATAAAAATATCAAATTATTATTTAAAAAATCTCATCCTGCCTGATTTAATTTGACAATATGTATGTTATTGCCCTGGCCAGTGTAAATATTCATGACCAACCGGATGGCGTGTGAGAAGGGACGTGCAGTAAATATCATCTCATGGGATTACTGTTGATTCTGCGACGATATTGTTTATTGTCCCTATTTACACTTGACAATCTAAACTCAAACAAGAATCGAGTTAATAAAATAAAATTTCTTGAAAATTACAAAAGATATCTTAACAATCACACATCATGTTCCCAGTTCCCATCAATCACATTTAAAGCTCACCCAAAATTACTCTTTTTGGATAATTAACTAGATTAGTTATTCTTCTACCAAATTACGCGTGAAATAAACGATAAAGAAGCATTAACCTTCTTAAGATTCAATCTAAGATCCCTATCAGCTGTTATACACGAAAGCTTCATCGTCACGATGGTAATATTAATAATAGTGTTATGTGTCAAGTGTGATTTACTAAAAATGTTCATGTTTAATGTTTAGTATCACATGGTTGTATCCAATAAATGAATAAATTGTAACCAATTACTTTATACGACTATTCTTGACATTTATGCATCACTAACTTGATTATTCATCGGCATACAATCAAATCAATTGGCAGTGAGTGCAACGCGAGACGCTTTTGTTTGTGTCAAATCAATAAAATATTTCCCACAACTAATTGAGCAGGGCCTATTCAATTTGCAAATCGATATGCATGTTGAGCATTTTCAACAAACTTTGGTTTAATTACTTGAAAGCTTTTAAAATACGTAACGCAGGTGTCATTTCCCAACAGATCAATACAGTCAAATGAATAGTTGAATAACGGTCAAAGTGGAAATTTATTAGGCGAAAAATAAAAATAGAACAAAAAATAGAAAACTTTTAACAAAAATTTATTTAAAATTATAATAAAAATAAAATATGTTCGTGCATTCGGTCGTTGAAAACTTTTTTTCATAACACAGCCTACTTCAAACATAAGATTCATTCGTAGTACCTTTACACATCCTTCAGATTCATAATTATTATGAAACATTCTCAAACCTTACAATTCCTATCAATTTAGAGCGTTTATATAGATTTAATTTTTATAGATAAATATATAATGATTGTCGGTGATACTACTCGTATTTGTATACAAAACCAACCGAAGAAAAACTCAACGTGTAAAAGCTCTAATAACGTTAAGTTATATTATTAGATATATATTATCATTTTAGTCATTAAGCGAATATTGGTTTGGTTCAATAGTAAATGTCAAGCACACTTGTTCACGATTTCGCTAAATTCATTTCTCTAAAACCTTCACGATTGAAGCGATGCCCTAAAGTGTTACATATTTATCAACAACCATCTTGCATCTTGCATATTCTCGCTAAACAATTTTCTTGCGTAATTTACATGTGCTTCTTTAAAATTAGCCTAAACATAATTTGTTCAACACCTCCATTCTTCTTCCGTTTAATTTATCTTAATATTTCTCAATATAATAATGTGTATAATATAATATATATTTATATGTTTTTTTCTTTGAAAATACGGATATTTTTCACATTATCAATATGCAATGATTCTTGTTTAAATCTCATCAAATATTTACGCCTATCATTATGTATAATGTATATATAATTTAGTTGATATGATATGTATACATTGTTTGGTTTTTCTCAAATTTTCACAAATTGATATGTTTCGATTACGATTTCAATCTTTATGCACATGATATGTACGCGTTTCATTTTGTTTTTTCATCAAATTTTGTTGTTGTGTTAGTATATCTGCTTACATCTTAATATACATTCCATAAATTTGGCATATAATATAATATGTCGCTCAGTGTGAACCAGTTTCCGCCGCGTTAAAGTAAGTGCTCTCATTATGATTGTTTCATTTCGAATATTGACTCTAAGAGATTGTTATGTAGTTGGTTTTACAATATTTAAGTGTTTTGTAGATTTAAAGTTTCGTCAATAATAAGCTCGACCCGGTTTTAGGTATCATTTTTTTTGTATGTTCATAAAATCATTACGTTCAGAATTCTGGACATCTTGATACTAAGTGTATAAATGTTGGTCGATATGTGATGATTTCTTAAGCGTGTCTGTTTTGCATCTCTCATAAATATTTCGTCGCGCGGGCGCGCAGTTTGCTTCATGGCGTCGCCGTTTGTCGTAGATAATATTCAGATTGGAGTGTCGCGGATCATTGTTGCGTGTTTATCTAGTTTAATGTGATTATTTACCGCCTCAAGGGGTGGTGTGAGTGCGCGGTGTCTAGAGGGCGAGTAACGAGGACATCATCACTTTTATAGCGAAGAGGGGCAGCAGAACGTTGGTGGAATGACGGGGCCGACCGTGGGACGCCACAGCGCCGACGACGCTCGCCTCGCAGGGTGATTCGGCTGAATCTGATAACACAAAACACACACACATTCAAAATAAAACAACATGATATATCCAGCGCCATCTATGATTAAACTCAAATTAAAACATAAATACTTTAACAAGAAACCGAATTAGTTTCTCCTGTTCCTCGAGCAGATCAAGATCGAGTGTATGGAAATTGTTATTTTAATAATTGAACGCCGAAACAAGCAAAATTGCACGAAACCCAATTTAGGTTGCTTTATTGTTTGCTAAATGTACTGAGCGAATGCTCTCATCAATAATTCCCACTATCGAAATGTTAAAACGTTTAAAATATTAAAAAAAACTTCTTACTTTTTTACAGGATAAAGACGCGTACTACTGTCACAAGTATCAAAGCAAATAAATAAAATATTAACCGTAGAAAGTTGTTTTCGTACAAATGTTCCAGGTGTAAATAATTTATTTATGATGATTTAGGATATAAATATTTTCGCGAAGCACGTAGAATGCTGCTGAGGAGAAAATTTTCATATTGGACACCCGTTTCGCATATAAATATAGATTTTGCGTTTGCGTTGGCAATACGAATTTTGCTTTCGAAAAGAGTCTCGATGCCAAGCTTGGTTGCTTGGCTGAAGATGTTCCACTAAATAGAAACGAAGCGGACGCGTACCGTCGAGATAGTTTTGTCGTTAAGCAAAAAGAGATCAGAAGGATTGCGCGGCTGTACATTTATCTCAGGACGACGCCGCACTTTGCAAAGCTTGCTGCCAAAGCCTGGAGAATTTGCGTTTGCATTTGCTTTTCTACAGACAGTATATAAAAATAAAAATAAAATTATAAAAGTAAATACCACGTAGGTTTTAAACTTTTACTTTCGATAGTTTTGTGGTTATGGAAGATGTGAAACTGATTTTTATATTATCCATGCAATTGGACATTTATCACCTACGACGTCTTACGTCTTATTCGTTCCGGTCGTTTGCAATAAATTATTTAAGACGCGTGCATGTTCAACCAGCGTATTACTTTTGTTGGAAATATGCCAGCGGCCGATTGTTCGAGGACGTCTTCTAGCGTCTGTTTCGGCTGCGGGTCGACGGGTTTCGGAGAGATCCCCGGGGATTTCGCACGTACGACTCCACCTCGCGAGATCGGGCTTTTGACAGTCCTTGACGCTTGTTACCAGGCGCTGCGCGACTTTTTGCTGTACGTACTCTAGCAGGGCTTAAAATAAGGCACAAAACAACCTCGCTGGGTAAGTCTTTGCACAAGTCAAAAGTCAAATTTCACATTCCCTTTGTGCATCGTCACGAAAGGGACATCTTCGAGATGTAGACTGACACGGTGACATTTTTGCTCGTATATATTTTTTTGTGTACGAAGTAAATTTCAATTGATTTTGTATTTTTTCTTTGTTTGCTCACCTGAGTTGTCCCTAAGTTTGGGCAGAAAGTCATTCCAGAATGCGCAGGCGGTGGCGCGGGGGCCTTTGCCGATGCCGTTTCTGTTCGCGTTGAAGATGAAGTACTGCGGCTGGTCCTTGGTGTAGAGCGGCCAATTGATGTCGTCCGTCACCGGCTTGCTGCAACGAGAACAAGCCAACATGCCATGAGCATGAGAAATGCCTTTGTTACGTCGTAACGAATTGCTTCATGTACCGGCTTGCTGGCCCGAAAACTACGCAACAAACACAAATCAAGATTGATACGTGACTCGCTGGCGGAGACGGACCGTCGACCCGTTTTCCTTATTTTCTTCATGTTGTAAATCAACCTTTTTAACCCTTTTTAACCTGACCTTTCGAAAATATAAAAAATGTATAAATAGAACAGCAGGGTTAAAACTTTACTAAAACATTTATAATTAACCAACATCCGCCCAAAGTTGTCACAAACATGTTTAATATTATCCTGAATATTTAATTGAAAATATTTTGGTAGTTTTGTTTATAATCGCGTTTTCTGTCAGATGAGCTGGATTAAAATGTTACAAATAGTTGGCGGTAGAAAATCCTGCTTACACTTTTCGATTCGCTTGGCACACGAATCTATGCGATATTATTCCTGCTCTCTAAGCCGGATTAACCTAACTAATTATGTATTCTCGTTCGTTGCGACCGGCTAAATACGGATTCGCATCTCAAATGTCTAAGTTGCATAAACTAACATTTATCCAACCATAATTTATTTATCATACAATGGAACACCTTTGAAACAGTTGGAAAATTGTCGAGTTTATCTAACGGAAAATCCTGTAAGTAATGATTTCCGCTAAAAGTGTCGTCGTCGTTGTCAATTTGTATTTGCAGAAAGGTGAAACGCAGCGAAGCGTTTAGCTCGATTTGTCGTTGGTGGCGGCGGCGTTTTCGACGAAAGAGGGTTCGAAATCGGGTTCAACAGGTTGGACATTTTCGGCACTCGGTCGGCATACGTGTGGCGAACGCGATTTTCCACCGGCACGGCGGCGACGACGCCGGCGGAAAGTTCTCCTTTTGTGCGCGTCATCAACGTCGGAACCACTTGCCGAGGGGTAAATATCGAACCAACCGAGCGCGAAACATCGACCTGTCAACTGCATTACCATTAATCACGCGTGTATAATTTCGCGATTTCAACCTGTTCTATTCTGTGTACTGAGAGGTTTGATATTAATTGTTCCTTACCCTGTGGCAGCAAAGCGTGAAAACACCTGCATTATTTTCTGGCTAAGCTCACGTTCTTTAGAGTTGTACTGTAGGGACATGTTGAGCGGATGGCCGAACACATACTCAATCTCGTCACCATGCATAACCCCCATCCATTCTCCCCATAATGACGTACTGGTGCGCTGAAAATAAATCACACAATTTATCAATTCAAATTTTATTTGAAATGTAAATTTAGAAAAAGGAATGAAAATAAGATGTATAGATTTTCCTAGCAAGTTTTTGACCTTGACCGCACTACGTATCCTTCCGTTTCTATTACGCCCATCTATATAATTGACTACAATTTGTTAGCTTGGCGTTTTCAAGTACGCTTTTGTTTGCCATGCATTCAAATAGATGAGAAAACCAGCGTCGTGGAAGTATCCGAGTACTTGGATAAATATTTCAAGAAAACTCTCAATGCCAAGGGCAAAACAACACAACAGAAGTAAATTTTTATTGTTTTCCTTTTCACACATTTTTTTCCTTAAACAAAAAAATGAAGCATCTGTTTTTGATTTACGTTCGGTTCATTTAACAGTACATAAATTATTTTCTCTTATTGTGCGGATCGTTTTGTGCAGTGTGCCGTTGAAAATGTCTCTTCACTTTAGCGCGGCGGAAAAAAAAACACCCACACATATACCATCAAGTGTATCTGCTGCGCTGGGGTAACTCTCGCCCGAAAGTGTTAAAATTCTATTTGCACGCGCGTCCAATGCGCCCCATTTCCCCAACGTATTCCGGCGGCAGCGGCATGTTTGCGAACGTATAAAGCGACTTCCACTTTTCTCTTCTTCCACGACTGCCGCGGCGAGTATAATGGCGCGCGATGGAAAAATAGTATAAAACCAGGCTGGCGCCGAATATGAACATGAAAATGTGGCAACTGCGGGAGAATGAGGCAACGAACGCAGAGCAAAACAGGAAGTGAAGAAAAACAACAATGTTCGCGCTGCGTCAGAGGCGCGCAACGCGAAATGAAAATCACAAATGCGAAGAAAGTTTCTGTTGTTGCTCCCGGGTTAACATTCTGCATAACATATGTCAGCGGCGGCGGCGGCGTGGACGTGTTTAGAAAAAGCAATACGCTCGCAGACTAGGTAGGTACTGTGAATCGTAATACCGCAGGGGTGGCGCGGAACGTGCGCTCACCGCGAGCATTACGTGTGGTTTGCCTACTTCGTGATGACATCAAGTAACATGCATACCAAGTTGATTTGATTGTACAGTGAAAAAGGAGAAGAAAACTTGATCATGTGTCCAAAAGGTATTCTAGAGGACATTTCTATAAATTACACATTTGGTGTAAGCGCCGGGCACAATTCGAAATAATAAAAATATTTTTATATTCTACCGTCAATATTATACCAAAATTGACTTTCAGTTTATATAATAAAAAGAAAAACAAGCTATATTCACGTTGAAAGCTTTCAAAAACACATTAAAATGCGTCACAACCAACTTTCCTCAAAATTAAAATAAATAGGATTGTATATGGTGAAGGCGCCGAGTAAAATATATGTTATTTACTCCATTCTCTTTCGCATTATAACACAGAGACAATAATAACCCGACCTGTGCGGCTGTGTACCTGAGTCCTAATGTCTAAATCGCATGACACTGGCTGTCATGCGCCGGCTGTTTGGCAGCGATGACCGACGCGCCGCGTTCCCAGGCGCTTTTCTTTCCGTTGCCTCTCGTTTTGTTTCCATCAAACTATCGCCGGTTAGGCTAGCGCATTATGATAACAATTGCATTGTTGAAAACGCTGTGTGATGTTGAAGCGGACCGGGACGCACGAGCGCACCACAAAATATGAGAATTGTAATTCGCGAAATTGCAGCGAAATTCATCAAGCGCGCATTGTGCTCGACGTCAAAAGCGGCACAATGAAAATTACCAAGGCCGAAGTAATTGAAATGTGTTCTTACCGCTAAGTACACAGAATTAATTCTCTTTAGGGCATCAAAAATTAACTCAGAACTTTATAATGCCACCGACGATATAATTTATTGCTTGAGCAAGACAACGAAAGAAGCAAAAAAAAATTACAGACCGCGAGTTGGAAGTTGGAATTAAGTCTTGTCATTAGTGTAAGTACGTCTTACGGGGTAAACTATAATAGTTATAGTGGTTGCATGGTCGGATGTAGAGCGATTAACGGGGAAAAGAAATGATTGATGTCTTGTCGTGAGTGTGCGACGGTAACATCGTATTTACAAGGCACCAGGACGATTTAACATGATAATTTGCTTTAGCGTCACCCATCACATATTTATATAGGACACATGCAAGAATTGCTATCCCTATGATATCGTAATATATCACATTTTAATCAATAACAGATAAAGAAATAAGTGTGATGACAGGCTTGGATCTAAAATTAAATTCCTAATTGTTCCAAACCGATAAAATTAGAAGCAAAAAAAAATTAAAAAATCCCCACAGGTGAAATGAAGCAATTTATTTTCTTTTGAACAAGAATAAAGAATGTTAGTTCTCCGTCGGCGTTGGCGTCGTCAGCCCCCAGAAACGGGCTTTCCTATTAGCCAGATAAGAAAGTAAAACAATTACGTTAGTAGAAAAGTAATTTGTGCTTTTTCTATTTCCACGATTCCCCCGATTCCCACCTTGATTGTGTGCGCTTGGTAAGTTTCTTCATTCGAAGCGAACAACGCCACAAGTTATTGGCGACGCCGCTTGCATTCGCAATAAATAACTTGGACGCGGATTGAAAACCACGAAATGTAAGCAAGCATATCGCATGCGATGCAGTCAGCTAATAGACCCACTTTCCCGGTCGGTGTGTCGGGATTAATTCAGTGGCAAATTACAACGAAAAACGCTTAAATTTACACGCCAAAAAGTTTCTTCTCTCGTAAGCTCGTTTGATATTCAGGCAGGTTTTTTACGACGCTAAAAGCGAATACGAATGACAATAAATTCTTTTTGATCTTCGGGAGCTTCCAGCACACTCACGAGAGACTCATTGTTCGAACACGCATAGTTAGATAAATACCACTTTTACATTCGTGTGCGTTTTTTTCTGCCCTACGTTGTGGGGGAGTGGAACGCAAGTCAGAAAAAAAGAAACGAGAAAGAGCGGCAAAAGGAGGCCATTATCATCACTCAAAATGTAGTCAATTACGTTAAGGTTTCGTCGATAAGTCTCAATGTTTATTTCGCCGTTTCCACGTTTCATCATTTTTAGATGAGAGCTTTTATGTTTATTTACGATTCATTTACGATTTGCTATTTTTAACTTTTATATAAATTCATATACCTACTTAGGTATAAATTGTGGAGTCAAATTGAAACGTACTTATATTTTGATGTATTGACTAAAAATTGTTGTAATCTAACACAGGTGGATGGCTTAAACAAAAACAGAGAACCCTTAACGACTCAAATGCGTGATTGCGAACGCGAAATAATACATTTCCGGGCTGGAAACGGGCGGAAAGCAGCGAGTGGCGCAGGTAAAAACTTAATTACCACAACGTCGATTACTTACGTGCGTAAAGTAGTAGTAGTACACCTTCATGCCACGGTCGGCAGCCACCTGCGCGAAGAGGTTTGTCGGGCAAATGAAGAAATAATCGCCAACTACGTCACCGATCATTTTTTGATTCAAATAGCCATCATTTACGTGCTCCCAATCGGTATACTGAAACAAACAACAAGTGTTTGAAATATAAATGCATATAGTAGACATTAAAGAGTATATTAGCTGTTTAAAATGACCACGAAGATCATCATTCAGCCATATTAAATTGCGGTTAACATTTTGACAAAAATCAATTTGTGGTTAGCATTTAATAACTGAATTTGATGATTGCAATGCCAAAATCAATTATTTTGTAAACCGATGAGTAAATATAACAAAATTAAATTATCTAGAGGAAAGAATCTATTAATGAGTAAAAATAACCTTGAATGACACGGATAATGTTTAATGCCCTAAGCCATTATTCTACGTTTCAAATGTTTTTTTTTTGTTTTGTTTTAAAAGGTTAAAGGTGAGTCGACACTCAACACTGCCAGAAGGAAAACTGCGCATGCAAAAGTAAATGTTTCGTACGATTACGACAGTAGCGCGAGGACAATGCAAGCACGTCCTAGTTGACCTATTACCTGAAACACGATGGCGTCCCTCTCGAGGCGCGACATGTTCTTGAAGATCGTGTTGATGATGTCGTGATACTTGTCGCGCTGCAGGTAGCTCGGCCCGTCTTTCTCGAAAAAGTCGATGAAGTCGTAGAGAATGAAATATGTGCCTGCAACAGACGGAAAATAAAGTTTACTATTAAAACAATAACACTACACACGTTCCATGTGCCGGGCGAATGATAAATTGATTTTTAATAACATATTATGAACAAAGCAATAAATCTTCTTGTCAATATAATATTGAATCTTTGCATGAAACACAAACAATTTCAGGTTTTTTTTTTCATACCACATTCCCAAGTGGGTCACTGAGAACAAATGAAGTAAAAAAAAAATTATAATAATAAATGTTACTTTATGAAAATGTTAACTTTCTAAGCACGTAACTAATCACATAACTTCTGGCAAGTAGAAAAGACTTTTTTCTTTTTCGCTTTATACCAGCTAATGAAAACGAAGAAAACGAGAGTGGATAAAACATAAAATGTAATTGAACTGGCTAGCATTATACCAACTTTTCTGTAGAAAAAAATATTTAAAAGTGTTTGATTATTATCTGGTTTGGTTGTACGTTCACACGAAATGTTAATTGATAGTCGAGGCCAACATTGATAAACACATCAATCATGCGAACAAATTGGTGCTATATGTTCCGATGGCGTTTACAAAGCGTCGCTTGTTTCTTGGGACCAAAGGGGTGAGCCTTGAAAAAAGCGTTTTCCAATTAACGAGCGCGTTCCGACTTCACGCTATTAACGCCACGCGATCTTAACTCGATTCCCACCCTTACATTTTTACGATGCGCTGGATTTGCTTCAAGCTCGGACTTAATGATTCCCTATTCGCGCTTTATCTTTTTCTTCATTAGTCATGCAACAATTAACCTTTTAATTTTCTTAGTGTTTTCATTAAATGGCATGAATATTTCTAAAATACCTGGCTGATAATATGTACTTCAAGAAGGTTTAATTTTCTTGGTATAAGCTCGTAAAATTTGTGTGATAAAATATTCAATTTTTAATTTTTTGGTGTGAACAAAACTCGTATCAATGAATTTTGAGTTCAGTTTAATATCAAAGGAAATTGAATTTTTCCAAAAATCAAATTAAATTGGTTTTAGTGCACTGAATTTAATTCTCGATTATCTCGTTGGTTTGGAACTCGATTAAGTCACAAACATTCACAACCGCGCAAATGTCATTCCAGAATTCTATCTACTCACGGGCAAAAGACACATGTGCATCCTTCTGCTGCCGGCGCCTCCACCACAAACCGCACGCGCGGCTTGCGCACGTGAAAATAGCAATTAAAGCAAACTAGCGAACCCGCTCACATTTCCATGATATTGATCGTAACGATGATTTTTTATTCTAACCGAAAAATTTATTTCACGCAACCACAAAAAGAATAACAATAAAACTGGTATCGGGTGTGTCGCAATGGGCCGTTCGCAAATAAACGATTAATTGGTTTCGGCATTGTTCGCCGGCGTGCGGCATTTTCAATTAAAAGCGATTTTTCACGCTCGAAACGATCTTATACAAAGTGTTACTAAAAACTAACCCAATCGTTAAAGAAAAGAAAAATCAAAAATTGCTTTATGCATTTTTAACCAAATTTTTATTAACGGTATTCGGATACAGTGTTGATTTGCTTCTGCCAAAGTTATACTCGAATATTAGAACCTACGATGCGGTCGGGAGCAATTGGGAGTTCGACGCGTTTATACCTGGAAGGCACGCGATTTTCCAACTAGTTTTCCGCGTGCAAACTATTAACGCCGGCGCCTTCCTGCGAAGGAAGCGGATTCGTTTGTTATCGCCGATAGAGAAGGGCGGATAATTCACCGCGGATAATTAACGGTTAATGTACCCGCCTGAAAATGAATCAAACAACACAAATCACTGATTGAATTCACTAGAAAAATTTTCAATCAAGTTTTTAGTTCGTTTGTAATTAGTTATCTACTTTGACACGGAATATTTAATTACCCACTCAGTGGTATTTAGTTGAAAACAGTTAGTTGCGCAAACGCCAGTTAAATTTATTTTTATCTTACTTTCCACAACTTTTCCAGTTTCACTTCGTTTTTCTTGTTTGTCTCCCATGTCTCTCATTTGCAATGCTGCTTTTTTGCACTACAGTGCTAAGGATTACTTGATATATATTTTTTGTCCCGCTTTGTTTTTTTTATTAGCTGTTGTCGTCTTATGCGCGTATTCGCTTGTTCTTGTGCGCTAATGCCCCAAAACGGAGCGTTAACGCCAGGATAAAGGAGTAGCGAATGAGTAAACGACTCCAGCCGGCCCCAGTCCCGACTAAACAACAACGACATTAACCTTTTTACGACGCTCGTATTTTTACATAAAACTCGATTCGTCCAACCCGCTCTCCTTTTTTTTTAGGCAAAAACGTGCTAAGAAATAAAGCAAATATGCTGTCATAAATGTAATACAATGCTTCATTTGCACGGCACTCAATTATTTACAAAGTCATTATGTTAATTGCCGTTCTCTCATGCTGAGTCTAAACTTCAAGTAATAACAAAAGTTTCAGTCATTTTTCATTGTCTGAAATATTTAATATTTTGTCAGGCAGCGAGTGAATTAACAAAATATTTTTAAATCTGATCTGTAATATATTTCGGTGGCGTTTTTCGATGATGAATAGATATTAAAATGGAATTTTAAACTCGACTTTAATATGTAATATTTATGACGTGTTCATTATAATAGTGTCGCGAGTCTCGGCTGTCTCCGAAAAGAGGAAATTGCGTAGCGATTTATCACTCTCCCGACTCGCCCCCGCCGAGGGAGAAAGTCCTGCCCGAGTCGCTCGACGGTGTTTTATAAGACGGCGTGTGGATTAAAGCGCGCCGCGACGTTTTATCACGTCATCTTATACTGTCTGCCGCAGACCTCAGAACGACCTTTAATTAATTTCGGCCTTATTATTAAAACGCGCGCGGCGCCGGGGATTCACCTGCGCAGCTAATACCGTCACAACGCCACTACAAAGCCACACGCCGCCGCCGACGCCGCCACGCAGTCGTAAACTATGACCCGATGAATCATCGTTATGTTTGAGAAAGTCTGCAGGGTCGTAGATTTGAGCTTGAGCACGACACTGCCGAAAACGTCACGGTGTAAAACGATAATAACTCTAGTAAACTTCCACACTAAACAATATTGTTATAATTTAGATTCTTGACTTTAACAACATTAATATTCTAAGGTTTAATATTACGACTAGTTGTATGTACGAGTACTCCTAGAAGTTGCTAAAATATAAAAATAGCGGAAACACGTAGAAACAGAGAACGGGATCGATGGTAGGTAATAATAATAAATAAAAAAGTAAATACCACACTGGGTATGCCAAAAGTGCGATAAATTACTTGTGGAAAAAATATACAATGCTGTATTTCATAAATATGGTAATACCGTAATGGAAAACCGTCGTCGCGTCTACAAGTGGCAGTATTTTAAAATAAATATTGCGTAAAAAAATAGAACAAAAAACTTAGTCGTTTCCAAAAAAAACAATTAATTAAATTGATGGGCATTCCGTGAAATGAACAATTTGAATGTTTGAACAAAAAGGGAGTTTTCCCGGAAAACGATTTTTGGCCGCAAATCCAGTGTGGATTTACCGTTCAATCACTAACTGCCTATGCGTTTTAGGATGTTCTTCACATTTCAATACTGACTGTGTAGTTCGTAGCCCTTATAAAAGGGCAACAGATGAATGCTGAGTCAATATCGGTTTCCGGGGCAAAATAACACTCTGACGATCGAAGTATAATGAAATAAAACTTTCCCCACTAAAAAAAGCCGACAGAAAGAAAAAGAGTAAGGCTTGAAGGACCATCAGGTCATCCGTGTTTGCCCAAAACCTAAACCGAGCAAGATCTATATATTTTTTATCTCTGTTAAACTGCTCCCTCTACAACTTTATCTCCTTTTCTATTCGCTTCATTTTGTGGTCGAAAGCAGAGAGTTCACCGGTTTGGCGGGTTGTTTTAAGGACGCAATCTAAATACGCGCACCGATGGAGAAGTTTCCGAGGAGCAAGGTGCCTTCGTTTCGCGAAGATTAAAAGCAAATAAATGCCGCGTGCAGGAAAACGTCGAAGAAGCTGAGGACTTTCCGCATGCCGTGCGGTGAAGGTAAAGAGATGAGGAGGAAAGTTGAAAGTTAAGACGAGGGCCACAGGTTGCGCGTTATATAAAAGACGTCCTGCGGTTTTGTGGCAGCCGATGCCGTCGACCGGCTGCCAGCGCAAATGATAAACTGCAATGCGGAGACGGCGGCCTAACCGCCGACCGCACCTCCTGCAGCGACAAAATCAAATTAACTCTGCTATTTTTCTTCAAACTATGTATCTAAGACATACATCAAACACATGCCAGGCTAGAATTGTGTTCTACAACTTTTTACCAACCTACTCTACTAAATTACTTAATGGAGTTTTTTTAATATAAAAAATAATTTCATTTTAAAATAAAAATTTTAGAAGTTTTTATATTACCAAATTTATTTTAATTTCTTGTAATATATTGATATTTTATATATATTGAGAAAAATTTGGTTATGAACGCAAATAAAACTTGAAATGTAAAACTTGAACGTTTTTATGTGCAGAACTTGGCAAACTTGGCTGAAAAGTAGAAGTAGAGACGTTGCAGAAGGGTAAAACCCTCTTTTGGCCTGAATTGCTGGAGTCGTACAGGAAATTATGCATTTCAACCGGTTCCAAAAGTATTTTATGAACAGCCAGCAAAATCTCAGCGTAAAAATTTGCAATAAAAGTATTCATAGTTTATTCAAATAAAATATAATAAACAAATAAATGTAGAAGTAGCTAATTAATTAATAAACTCCAAGGATGTGAAATAATTTCTACCAAAAACAAGTAGCTAGTTCTAGTGCAAGGGCGAAATGAAGCAAGTATATTCTTTACAAACAAATTGAAAAAGGAAATAATGATAATTATGATGAATGTAAGTACTTGATTCTTTTTGATGTGCTAGTTGCATTTGCAATGTCTGGGGCTGTGTATGTGGAGCGCCCGCGGCGTAGTAAAGCACGTAGTACTCGAAGACGGC